TTTTGTTTATGTTAACAATATCACAGCAGTCAAAAAAAACCTGCTAAGCGTGTAAATATTGTATTTTTTACGCCCTGGTAGAGTACTTTGAAGTTCCAATTCTACAGCATCAACAGCTGAATCCACCTGTTGAGTGCAAAATTGCTGAAGGCAATCACTGAGTACCAACATTGTAACAAATAATGTTTTAATGAAGATATTTCAGCAGTAGCTCTGTTTACCTCTTTGTAGTTCAGTAAGAAATAATGTTATTTAGCATTTTACATCGAAGTGGTTTGAATCTTTTGAGCGTTTCCAATTTAAAACTGAAAAAGACTCAAAATCATTTTTTTAACCATTTTCTAGAACGTCATGACATATTCTTGATTGTAAACCTTGGTTTTGGGCACAAGGTAGTGGAGAAGATTGGCTCATACAGTAATTAAACATCCTTCTTCAGTGAGATCGGATTTGGGCACTGATTCCTAGTTGTTTGGTGGGAGCAGTGTTAAACTGTGATAAAATATATATAATAATAACCTTTGCATTTGATATTGCGCCTTATCACATATTCAAGATGTCTCAAAGCGCTTCACTATAAAGTGAATTGACTGGATATTTTGGGGCAAGGTGTGGCAGCCAATTGCGCACAGCAGTGTCCCACAAACCCCTTGTTAATAGCCCTGAAAACTTTATGCTTATGATTCACAAATGCTGACAGGTTGAGTTCCAGTGTTACCGAGAAGCACAAATCATTGCTTTGCTCTGGCTCTGAGTGCGGACAATGAACTCAATACGAAACATTTACCTTCCACACAGTTTGAACAACAAATCAGAAATGTGTGGGTTCGGTAACTAAAATGTCTGCGGCTACTCTAGCGATTTAGAGATATATAGAGCATCTTCCACAGCTTTTTGAACGGTATCATCAATTCTGGCCCTTCAACAGATTATTTTTCATGGTGCAGCTGAATGTGTAGTTCACTAAATATAAAACTGCATTTCTTCGAATATTAGTTATATACTTTGGCCGATGTTGCAAGATTTGAGCATTCCATTTTGTGTATTCTCTTAAGGATGATGAGGGTTATTGTTTCAGTACTCGTGGATGCTGTGAAGTTAACTGAGGAGTGGCTTCATAAAGTATCAACATTATTAAGGAAATGGTATTAGGTGTGAAAAATGATTACTCACTAACCTGTATTTCACTGGTGGTCAAAAGTCTATCTGTTACTCTGTATCACTAGGCTTTTATTCCCATATCCAATTGCCACCAGTTAAACAGTTACATTACCTCAAGCACTTCTGTTTGCATCGTGAGTGAAAAGAAAGGAGGATCTTACTGTTAGGAAATTACCTAAACCCTGTGAAAAACACTTACTTTGATGTTTCCTCCCCTGCAGGAATTCATTTGCACTCTCATTAGTTTCGAAAGGATTGATTTCAACAACAGGTATCCAACGTTTAATGCATAACCCTCCTACTTATTGAACCTTTCCTTACATAATGGACGATTTTCACTACTAGGCACTGACATGTGTTCAGTTTGAATATTGCAAAGAAGTAAAGAATAAAGAATAGTCGGGATTGTCAGAAACTGTGACACCATGTCGATTTTCTTTTGTGAAGCTATCCTTTACTACAATCCTTGTCTCTTCTAACTTCTCCCTTTCTCTCTCTCTTTCCACCCACCTCATAATACTTGTTTCAGTCGCTTCTACCTTGTACGAACATAGTCTAACCCTTTTGCAACTGCTCGAAGTTCAAAATCACATCAGATCCCAAGGTTTCACAGGAAGATGTAAACTTGTATCTTGTGGAAAACACATTTCATATACTGCATCTCACTTGTGCCAGGATAGTATTTTAAAAAGGTTTGAATTAAATGAATGAATGCAAATTCTACAGAATCTATCTTGTAGAACCTGTAGATCTTCTTAGTAGAATGCGTCAGAGACAAAGCATGAAACATGCACTCAACCAATGCGATCTACAAATTGTTCTCCTCCAGAGATGTCATCTCTTAATCAGTTTTGTGTAATAATTCAAGTGAGTCCTACTGTCACCTGCCACTCTGCTCGGGATGCTTTCCTTTCCTCAGGATGCTGTTCTTCGCTCAAGATGCTGAGCAAAGGAGAGGGTGAGGTGGAACCATAGAAACGGTTGAAGAAGTAGTTTTTAAGGTGGGACTTGAAGACCGAGGCGGGCCAAGACAAAGGGAGATTCAGGGATTAGGGCTGTAGTATCTGTTATGATAAGACACCATTTATGATATATGTTCACAAGTGAAACAAATATCCAAACAGCAGTATAATTTATAATTTTGGTTGTAACAGTTTATATCTATAAAATGCAGTTCTTGTTATCCCCACTAGATGAAGCTAAAGTTCTACTGACATTAGACTAGTCCTTTTGTAAAGTGATTAATTCCAGTGGGTAATATTTGAATATGTGTTAATATTTTAGTATGGATACATATAATTTTAAGCCATTAAAATTATTAATTATGCAATTCTGAGATTTTAGTGCAGACGAAGCTTAAACAACTAATATCTACCACAAGAATATTTATCAATTAGTTTACTTAAATAGTTCTCATCTTTTGTTGGCACTGTATGTACTCAAGCAGCTTTATTAATCGACAGATGCTTTGCTAATTTTTACTGAATGCATCTACTTTTCTAAAATTGGACATACTCGAGGCTATACTGTATTCAATCTAACTCTGCAATGAATGGTGGAACCCAAGTGTTCACCCACTTCTACGACGTTAAATCTGACCACAGAGAAGCTAAATATTGAAACTGATCTTATCTCCACCTCTTGTTCTTTGCTTGCTCTTATTATACTTAAAAGTTGCAAACTGCTTGAGCTCAGATCCCTTCGTGCCCTGGCACCTCCCCACTGCTGGGTCCACCCTTTTGGTAACTGTTATATCAGTCCTTACACCACTCCACTCATCTTAACACATGCATTTTTCTGAAACATTCCATTTGCCTCTTAGTTTTTTTTCAAAGTCAATTTTCTGCTCATACCCACGCCTTCGAAGAGATTAGTCGGAATGTTTTCATCCACTTCCAATTCATACGAAAGCACACAATAAAACCATCAGCCCATCAAGCCTACTGTTTCTACCATGACAAGTCAATCTTATTATGGACTCAATCCACCAATTCTATCTCCTGGGGGAAAGTTCTGCCCAGATACTTCTTGATCCCTGAAAGTAATGGAGCTAAATCTCCAGAATATTCATCATCTCCACAATTGAATTCTGGTCTGCCTCATCTACAGATTATTTTCTTCCCAACCACAGCAGTAGAATTTTTTTTAAAAGTCTGATTGTTGATGTTTACTTGTGGTTCATATTGTTAAAACAGTTTTAAATCCAACTAATTGATGGGCTGTTAATTCCATGACCTTTAACTTTTAAATAGTCTCGCATGTGAAACTTTATCAAATGCCTTTTGATAATAAATAAATATCTGTGTACCCTTCTTAAAACTGTTCAGTTACTTTCCAGCAGACTTCAAAGTATGATTTATCATTTTTAAATCCACGTTTATTATTCTCTATAGCCTCTGTGTTATTTAAATGATAGCATCAAAACCATTTTCTCCTATGATTCTTTTGTTAGCATTAACAGTTTATTCTCAATGCTTATTGGAGAATTCTTAAATCCTTTCTGGTCTCCAGTTGAACCTTTGATTAAATATCCATTTCATTCTTACCCTGAACTCATTATTTCCTTAGATCAGTAATAACTACAACAACTGGCACTTATAATAATAATAATCCTTGCATTGATATAGTGCCTTATCACATCTTCGAGACGTCTCAAAGAACTTCACAGAATACACTGTAAAGTCAATTGACTGTATATTTTGTGGACACAATTTGTATTAGAAATAATAATAATAAAATCTTTACATTTTATATAGTGCACATCAGGTTAGGATTTCACATCAGGAAGATGTCTGAAAGCATTTCACGGGATATACTGTAAAGTGTAGCGACTGTTTATTTTGTAAGCGTGCTGTGTCTTTATATAGGTTGTGTATTTCAAAGCACTTTAATCACTCATTGTTTATCAAAATGCTAGCTCCTCTGCCTTTAAACCTTGCTTAACTTCAGGAGTATTTGCAGTGGCAAAAAAACAATATTCAGAGAGCTAATAGATGTGTTCTTAAAAAAAGCTCGTGAAAAGTGGATTGTAAATCATGATCACGTCTCCCAATTATGGCATGAAAGGGGGCAGTTTGTATTTAGAAAACCTTTCCAGTAATGTTTTATTTCTCTCCCTTTCTCATCACACCTTGTAATCGCTTGCTTTTAGAAAAATCCGTTGAATGTTGTGACTACGGTAAACCGCCTTACAAATCGTAATGGCTTCAATTACCTCAGAACAGAAGCTGGATGCAGGGAAGCGGTGGATTGATTGGCTGCATTAAAACCCCAAATCCTTTGATGCTTAGGTGATAGCACCGATTTAGTATAAAAGGAGATAAAGCTGTGACCATTTCAACAGTACAGTGACAGTGCAAGTCAAAGAAAACCTCTGCTGTGCCTGCATCTGTACAAGGTATTACTGTTGTAAAGTTTGTTTTTAACAAAGCGCAAAATTGCGGTAGCATGTTTAAGATGTCTGGTTTAACGCTAAATAATTTTCTTTAAAAAGCTTTTAAAGTCTCAGTGATTATTTTCCGACGGTTAAATATTGAAATAAATGGTGCATTACGGTGGCATTTCGTTCACAAAAAGAGTAGCAAAACCAGCAAATCTTGCAGGTTCGGGCTCCAATCCAGCATTCTCCTCCCATGAAGCTTGTGACGAAAGAGCGGTCAGGAGATTAGAGTCAATCAGTGGGGGTTAAGTGAAAACACGGATGCGTGTGATGATCTTGAGTGAGTTGTGGAGAGCATTTTAATGTTTATTGTACAGAAAGAAAAGATACTGATAACCGTAAATTTATTTTTATTTGTCATTTATTGGGCTTTTTCCATTTAACTTATTAGGCTAATCCAATGTTGCTAGTAATGGTTAACAGGATCTCAGCAGCTCATGGATTTCTCTTGATTCTATGCTGGGTGTCCATCCACTGTCAGAACAATTGTCAACTGACGAACATCACCATGGCGGTGGAAAAGGAAGAGTGTGGGTATTGTGGCAATGTCAATGTTAGCTGGTGCTCTGGTTACTGCTTCACAAAGGTGAGAAAATGCAAGCAATAACTGATTGTTCATATCCCTCGCTCAACGCATTTTGCCCACTAAATACACAGCCAATTCACTTCACAGTGTATTTCGTGAAGCGCTTTGAGACATCCCAGCGATGTGATAAGATGCTATATCAAATGCAAGGATTATTTATTATTGACCCGACTCACCATCGGTGAGCAAGCTTTCAGCCATTCGCTCCCACTCTCTGGTACCTCTGCCTTGCCCCTTGCCTTCCCACCTTTAACGCCTGCCTTATGACGTTTCTTTTCAACTGCATTTTCAGCTTCCTCCACACGTGAAGCGCTTTAAGACATGTTCCCTCCTTGAAATGCACTGCATAAATACATAATTGTTATCTGTAACAAACCCTCCAGTTTTGCAAAATACGCAAGCGATTGTAGAGTTATCTAAATCTGCTGTTTCGCAAAGAAGATAGATTTTGAACAGTAAAGGATGGGAAGTTAGTTTAAATTGTTTATCACTAGAAAAGATACACTTGACTATAATTAGCTCAATTCTCCACCTCAAAGAGCTTTGGATTTAGTGTTGAAAGTGATTTGGAAGTGGAACGAAGGGTGAACTAGTCATTCTGAGCAATTGCAACAACTTGTGCAATGCTTTTACATGTGACCCAGGCCATTAATGCTGGAATGGGTTGAAAGGTTCACACATTCTAAAATGTAATGGAAAAGCTGTATCAATGTTTAACTGCTTACATTCCTCTCACCCAGCACATGTTACAGGGGGGTGATTTCCTGGGCAGGATTATTTTGACTGGGATGATCCTTCTGATCAAAAGATTTGTTCAGATTAAGAAGGTTATCTGATCTGATCCCTCCAGAATCCCCACCCAATTGTCCTACCGTCACAGCATCAAGCTGCTTTTTAATTGATTACACACCCGACAGTGCCATCCTCCTCGGTCTTGAGGCTCTTTCATGGTGGTCCTCCTCCCACAAGTATCTCCACAGCTTTCAAGGCCAACGGCGACTGTTCCCTGTGAGTCTTCATGGCTGTTATCCTCACTTATACCCCCAGGTGATTGTAGAGGGGAAATATCCCAATTCCCTTTGGTAAAGCTTGCCCTACGTATGTGGAGGAGAAGGAGCTTCCTGCAGTTTCCCCCTGTCAAGGATCATCAGGGAACCTATATGATAGGGGTCTCTGCTTCTCTGCACATCCCTGTAGTCTCCCCTCCTTCAGGAAGAGTAATTGATTGAAAGGGCTATGGCTTCTTCTATTCTCTGCTGCCCCAACCTGACTCTTCTGCACAGAATAACCATATAATAACCATATAATGATCAGAAAGCTGGTATTTGGTTTGTTGCATGACAGAAAATTGGGTTTCTTTGTGGTGTAAGCATCGAAGCTTATTTGTTAAACTTCTTCCGAATTGTAACTTTCTTTTCTGTTTTAAAAGGATCCAGTGTTCAAGGAGCGCATGGCCTCCATCTATCAATACATTTGCAGCTACAAGGAAGTCATTTATCAAACAATCACCATCCCCAACTGCCCTTCCAACGTTAGTCCTTATTACACTTATCCCGTAGCAATAAGCTGCCAGTGTGGAATGTGCAATACCGAAACCACTGACTGCACAGTCTCAGCATTGGAACCAAAATATTGTTCCTTCACACAACAAAGGAAAAAAAGATCATTAATAATGCACAGTACACTTCTGCACAGGAACATTTGATGTTTTGTGTACGGCCATGGCATTGTAACCTTATTCAGTAACGATGATGTCTCAATCAATTTAGCTTTGGTTAATATTTAATAAACACAAATATGTATTACTTTTCAATTATGTACCAACTTATTTAAACCATTGTTATGTATCAGCTTTTTTTTAGTGTTTTTAATGATTTGGATGAAAATACAAAAGACAGACTTAAAGTTTGTTTTATAAGAGTGAAGATCAATGTTATTTATCCTTGTGTATAGTCTGATCTGCCTGTCTGTAGCATTCGCTATCTGTACAATGTAATTTATTTGAACCTTTCAATAAAAATGCTGAATTGTCTGCATTTGAATTGTGTATTTGATGTATACTGTGCTTTATATCCCTCCTTTGTGAGCATCCTGCTTACCTAATTGCAGAAAGTATTAGGTGCAGGTTGGCAAGAGGCAAGGCTTAGAGACCCCAGAGTGTGTATTGGGGTACTGCTGGAGTCTAACCAGCTAAAAGCCTACGAAACAACTGTGTTATAATTTACAATATACATTGTAGGCATACATTTTACATGGATGACAACTTCTGCATGTCTATTAGATATGCTGTACAATGTTGCATGGGTGGGGCGGGGGGGGGGGAGTCGTACACAATTTATGCTGTGAGTCTGAGAGAGGATGGTTGGAAAGAATAAAATATGGCATGTGGATTTGTGAGAGAACTGTAGACAAAGTGCAGTGAAACAGAGGTGTAATGGCCTGCGGTAGAGGTGAAAGGACAGGGTTGTTACAGTCCTTCAACCAACCTAGAAAGTTGTAGCCTATTCAAGGTGATATTAGACAANTTTTTTAACTGAGTTATTGGGATGTGGAATGCCCTGCCAAGTAAGGTGGTAGAGGCAGAGTCCGTTGTGGGTTCTGATGCTGCTAGGAGGAATTGGACAGGAATATGAAGGATAGAAGCTTGAAGGGCTATGGGATTATTTTAATACTTTACTCTAAAAGCCAGATTAGATTCATTGAGCCAAATGGCCCCCTTCTGTGTTGTAAATTTCAATATTTCTATAACAATGTGATTTGAAATTGTTCCACTCACTTAATTCAAAACTAAAGGTTTTACTTATAATTGCCCCTATCCAATAAAATATTCACTTGAAGAATAATAACTCATAAAAGATGCTAAAGCACAGCAACATCAGCAACATTGGATCAAAAAATACGATGAAATTGCAGAAGTGAGATTTGGGAATTGGATTATAAAGTACTTTGGGGAAGTTTCACACAAATAAAACTTTGCACTGCCCGTTCTTCAGTCAGCAACCCTTTGGTTAATGAATATACAGTTTTAGTATTCATGAAGATGGTCAAAACAAAGTTTCAAATACAGTGTTGATCCAGTGGTTCTTTGATTCACATAAACTGCAGTGTGCTGTATGTGAATTAGCATCAGCTAAACTGATCCCAAGAGCTCCTTGGTGAAAATATTGACTTTGTGAGCTGCATTTTTAATAGGGAGAGACACTGTTATCTTAGTTCTGTTTACAAATGTGTGTATGAATTTCATGCAAGGTACCACTACTTGTGAAAATCAAACCAGAGGCAACTGAAAATATTTACACCATAAAGTGTCATTTAGAGCAATAATCTGCCCCTTTTTTTTATCTAAAAAAATACTAAACAGAATGCACATTGGCCAACACAATAACAAATATTTGAGTTTATATTGAAGCATCCTGAGCCCAACTATACAGACATGAATATAATCCGCTCAAAAAAACAACTCTCAAACTGTTGGCCTGAAAATATTCAATCAAAACCGCATTAACATCTCAATTTATCCTTTATGCTTTATGCTTTAACAGTGGTGAACTTTTGAGCAGTGCATTTGAAAAAATGCACTATCCAGTAACTAACTGTGTTTAATTACACATAAGGACACGAGAAGCAAGTGCCATAATAATAATAATAATAATCCTTGCATTTGCCATAATGCATGTTATGCTATTGAATGAAATGAAAGTGAGAATTAGTACCAAGAAGTAATTCTCTTGTGGTCAATTATTCTGGACTAACACCCAGCCAAGCACAACTGGCTAAGAATGAGTCAGATATTGTATCAGTCATCGTCGGACACTTTGCTGGGCATAAGAAATCATGTCTAATATTGTCAGCACAGAATTTCTTGTGGCTGCATGTGCCAGAACTGCAAACAGCCACATCTCACTTGTTGTAAGCTCTGCGGAAGTCAGTAAAGTTGAGGTCCCTCCCAACTGTTCCTTGTGTACCAGCCTCAGCGCTCTCAGAGCACACTTCTGTCACCGGGAAACAGTAGCATAGAAAACTTAAGAATTACATGGATAACCTCAAGTTAAAGCCAGTAATAAAGTTACATTTCAGATAGGCTCATCGTTCAGTCTTCTGGTTCATGTATCATCTGAACCTCTGAGATGTACCACTACCACCTCATACTTTGAATTTTGCAGTACAAAAGTCTACTTCAGCTGTTGTTGACTAACCCGCCTAAAAGTAATCCCAATGTCAAATTCCAGACAGGCCATATTTGGGGTAAATGTTAAAGCACACAATAGACAAAACAGAGCTGAACTAACACTGACAGCAAGCTAAACTCATTTACTCTGTATCCTATTCTCAAGGTGTTAAAGAAGCATAATATGACCTGATCGTACCCCAGTTTACTGCCTGTCCCCTTCGCTCAGCTAACACAGGTTTGCTGCCATACCTATCCCTATATCCTCCACACAACCATTGGTGCCTGTGCCTTCATCCACTGTGCCCCTAACCTCTGATACTCCCTGTCTTAACAATAATAATAATCATAATCATAATTCTTTCATTTGATCATAGCACTTTTGATATCAGGTCTTCTAGAATTCTCATGTAAAGTGAATTGACTGTTTTGTAAGCGAAACACAGCGAACAATCACATACAGCAGTGTCCCACAAACAGTCGTTGTGATTATTATTTTTATTATTATCATCTTGACCTACTAATGTGCTTGTGTGTAAACTAAAAAATAAAAATTATTCAAAAATAAAAATGTATCAAAGTAGCTTAGCCTTTAAAGACTCTTTCCTGTGAAAATATTCAACAAAGAGGTTGCAAAATGTTCCTTGCATTGCTTTTTTATTCTATATTATCACATTTAAAAAACACATCACAGTAAAATGAAACATCAGCCATCTGTACTGAGAATTGAAATAACTAGAGAGCTAAACTTCATTCTTTTCCAGGTGTTATGTTTTGGACAAAATTCAGGCAGTTGTTTTTGAAATAAAATGATTTATATGGGGAATTTAAAAACATTGAAATAAAATTTAAATGCATCATCATTCCCCATTATAGAATGCACATTGCAGATCGCTTGTCTTCGGCTGCAATTGTTACAATTGCAATAGTAATGATATAGTTACAATAGAAATGATATAGCGTCTTATCACATTGTCAAGGATGTCGGAAAGCTCTTCACAGAGCTACTAAGTTATCTTTGTTATCAAAACAATTATCAAAACAATGAGCAAATATTATAACCTCTCAATCACAAAAACAGGTATTACCCGTTTCACCAAGATATAATAAGAATATTTCATTTAATTAAATATTCAGAAATGTAAATTTAGATTCAAACTTGGCATCAGCGATTACACAAGAAGAAAAAACAGCCACCACTTCACTGCTGCACAGCCGGCCATAGATGCAACAATACTCTGTAAAGCACCTTAATATAACCAAAGCATGGCAGAGATGTGAAGACTTGATGCAACAACAACTTGTATTTATGTAGCGTCCTTCACGTGGTAGCATCTTAGAGTGCTTAAATAAATGTCATACCACTCTCAGTGAGAAACCTGTGTCAGCACACAAAGGAACTTAAACTTCATGCTGTATAAATTAAATTGATTATTATGTGATGCAATTCACTATATAAAAATAGTTCTATGTTATGGATATTAACAATACTTTATAACAACAACAAAATTACATTTATATACATCTGTAAATAAACATTCTGCATATGCACTGCTTATACCTTTACATAAACTCGACACTAAAATGGAAATGAGGTACACCAATGCTTGATCCATGAGCTTTGAGCTCAGGAGTAATCTATAAAACAACAACAACAAAATTACATTTGTATAGTGCTTTCACGTCAGGAGGACTCAACGGAGATACATTCCTATGGCTTACATATTAAACAAAATATTCCTGGTGTCGAATTAAGCAAATTGAAGCTTCACACTTCCTGGATTAGAGTGATCTGTTCACAACAGACTATGAAACAATCCCAAAGTCTATTAAAGCCAAGCCTTATTTATGGGTTAGGTACGTTTAAATTCATGTTGATTGCCATATGTCGGAGCCACTCTCTCCTTTGGGGATGTAAAGAAACTTGAAACCCTTTCTCACTGTTTATCAAACGTTTTTCTTCCCTTATGTAATCCAAATGGTGGGGTTTGCAATAGATGTTTAACACCTAATTTTTATGATCTCGAAATTCAACACACAAATATTAAATGAAGAATCAATATCAAGCAAATTAAGGGAAATAACCTTTTTCCTTCTAAAATTTCATCATTTAAGTGGCGATGTCAGTAATGTTGCTCCAATGATGTATTGAGTAGCTATTCGAATGATTAGTTTGTACAACTGTTTTCGTTGAGGGTATCAGTTACAGGCTGAAGTGCCTTCTTCACCTGTGCCTCTTGTTGTGAGCTTGTGATCACAGAATGGTTTTGAGTACCTTTACCTCTGACTGTGGACTACAGTATATGTTTTTGATAGGGCAGGCAAGCGAGATGTGTGGCCATGCTTCCTTCTTTCTAGCTGACACGTCTTTTGGTCCTGTGCCTGTGTATCTATCCGGAGATCCACCCGTGAAAGTTGTAGGACAATGTGCTTCATATACCCGGCTTTGCGAGTTTAAATTGCGAGCCTTTGCGTCCAACGGTTTGTTAGTTTCTCGGTTTGGCACATGGTTATCTCTTCCTCCGACTGGAGCAGGAGTGCAACATTGCGAGGAGGAAGGTTGCCAATTCCGGTTCAACAGCACTGCCATGTTCCTTTCAGCTAAAGAAGGATCGAAAACTCCAGTCTTCTTCATGCTATTAAAAAAAAGATTGAAAGTTGCTCTGAATAACAAAAAGCACATCCAAAGTAAGATCAAAATCATCATTACATCTCACTGAAATACAGCTTTTTTAAAAAAAACAGCCTACAAGGTCTCTTGCTCATTATAGTACTAATAAGCAAACTCTTTGGTTTTGTCCACCAGCTGCAATTTACGTGTATTTATATTTTCCTGTTTAATTTTTTTTAATCTGCGTACAGGTTTTGAAACTGTTTCCATTTAATGCGGGTTTTTTTTAGAAGCGATGGAGATCATCAGTGGTGGGATCTTTAGAGTAATGCAGGCAGGAACACTCCTTATTTTTAGCTTGCAAATCATCTAAACTGTATCCTTTGTTTACCCCAATTTTAAATATCACGACTATATAACAAAAATCGCTCCCTTCAACTACTCTTACAGTTCAACTTATCTGCTATTCAGAAGGACTTTTCCTAAACCATTTCCTAACTGATGACTAACTGTATTCATTGCATTGCTTCCTATCCTGTATTACATTTCCCACTGAAATCAGTTAACGCTGGCTGGCTGGTTGCCTGGCTGGCAGTGAAAACTATAATATTCCAAACGTAAAAATGTTCTTGAACCCAACTTGTACTATTGATACAGACAACAATTCTGGCCTGAACTGAAGTTAGAATTTGCAAGAAAATAAAAATCAAAGGCAGTCAATTAATTTGTACTCACTGCACAATCACGGGATTCTGCACATATGCACAGTATTTTAAGTATAGCTTTACCAATGTTTTGACTTAAAATGAAATAGATCAGAGTGAGTGCTTGAGTAAACTCTTTCAGTGAACGCTTTATAATCGTGCCTAGATCCTCCTTTCCCATCTTTGCCAATGGACACCCAATTGTGTGTACCTGCGCTTGACTTAATACCTGGATAGAAATGGGCAGAATGAAACAAAGTCGGTTTAAAACTTACTGTACGTAACAATTCTTTGTAACCATTCAAATTTTAAAAGTGGGACAGCCTTTCAGTTTTGAGTGGTTACCCGTACACAAACATTTAAAAATAGTTGTTGGAAAAATACTGAGGTCAAGAATCATTTTGAAATTACCTCATTTCCCAACCATTGTAAATTTAATTAAGATGCTGTTACCTAAGATTATTTTTTATTCAACAAGCTTCAAGTGTATCTTTCCTTCAGGGCATACCCTAAATATTTGATGACTTGTGACAAATTCTGCACCGTACTTAGAAAGAGAGCTGAACAACAACAACAAAATTACATCATATAGCACCTTTCACGTTGAGAGGACATCCAACAGAACAATAATGTTGAACATAATTTAGTCCCATGACATTAGCGGTTGAAAGTTTTTAACTGGATACATTTAGACTTTAATGTTCTGCTACTCAAACTAGAACGTTAGCAGTTCAATTAATCATGTAACAAATCAAAAAACACAAATGGCATCACGTTCAGTTAATTTACAACTACATAAACATGCTAATGCATTTCAATACCAATCTTCTAAAAATACCATTTTTGATGGGCCGCCTATAAACTTGAGTGCTTCCAAGTCGTTCACAGGGACTTAAAGTTTATAAGTCTTGTACCTACTATGTCTGCTTTAGTTATTCAGTGTTACTCCAAAGCTCCTATTCTTGATGGAATATATTAAGCAGTCTGAAACTTTGTCCCTAACAACTACTAAATGCATCATTGTGACAGTAATTTGCTTTAGCCTGTGATTAAACACAATTTAAGGATCAAGCTTGCGAGTAAGATAAGTAATAATAATAAAAATAATCCTTGCATTTGATATAGCGCTTTTCACGTCTTCTAGACATCTCAAAGCGCTTCACAGAATATGCTGTAAAGTGAATTGACCGTATATTTGTGGGCGAACGCGGCAGCCATTTGCACACAGCAATGTCCCACAAACAGTTGTGGATTGAAAATGACCAATTTATTATTTTTTTTGTTTTGGAGGAATTATTATTAGGCGTGTAGAGTAAGGAAACTTGCCCAAGGTTTCGCCCTGCTGATTGAAGGTAAAAAAAAAGCCAGCTGATGAAGGTGGATTTATCACATCATAGATGCCATGTGCTGGCACAATACAGTGCACATATTTTGCCACACTTTCTACTTCATTTCTATGTTTTTTGGTCAGAAAAAACCCCCTAAGAGAATATGAATAAAATATTTTCTGGAATAATGTAGTATGAACCTTGAATCTTTTAAGGCTGCAAGCAGCGGTCATTGCAAATGCAGTATAGAATAAATTCACTTGCAATTAATGACAATGCAATCTCATGGCATTTTACAATTTACTGATGACAAGTTTTGCGTTCACGAGCTAATAGCATTCAGGCCAATCGAGTGTTCGTAAACAAGCAGACTTGTAAAAACTTGATAGATGGATCTGGAACAATGTAAAATACTGTGCATCGAAACAGAGAATGTCAAGCACAGGTACACATAATTGGGTGTCCATTGGCAAAGATGGGAAAGGAGGATCTAGGCACGATTATAAAGCGTTCACTGAAAGAGTTTAGTCAAGCACTCACTCTGATCCATTTCATTTTATGTCAAAACATTGGTAAAGCTATACTTAAAATACTGTGCACAAGTCTGAGTAGATTGCCGTTGATTATGATTACGACATAATGTTGAACCGAAATTGTCATAAATGGAATACTGTACGCACTCTTATATAGTGACATAATAAAGGGGTTTTAAAGCGCTTCGTGATTGATGATTGGAGCAGGTTGTCAGGAAGAGTTTTTCAAACAACGTTAGAGCACGTCTTAAACTGTTGAAAAAAAAACGTTTGATGCTGTGCTTGGAAGAAAGTAGGGTGAGTATTCTGAAAAGCTAAGATCAAGTGGGCTGAACGATTTACTTCATCCTAACTCATCTTGTGATCTTATAAAGTGACTTATTGGATATCACTTCCTTAATGATTGTCTTTCTTCCAGAAACTGGTATTTTCTTTTATTATCTTATTCTAATTCAGTAACTTCCAACTCAAGTAAAGTAACACTTGGAATTGGTGACCAATTAATTAACAGTTAAGTGGCACCTCAACTGGAGTTTAACTTTTTCCCCAATAGATCAAAATTTTTGGCTCTTGGTAAAACAAAAATAAAAGATTGTGCCACAAACCAGGGAAATATTACAAAATACATTGTAAAATGATGTAAATCGTCTAATATGTACTGTAATAAATGTACTTTATTCAACTGCCAAGCAGGAAACTGAATTAGCTTTGCTTTAGGCTTAACATTCTGATCTCTGGTTGATACCTTTATATTGGTTTTAATCGAGGCCAAACGCCGAAAGGTTTATGTACCAAAACTGAAGTAATCAAGCAGAAATGTGACTCACTGAAAAAGCATCATGTGGTTTTTGATTCATAACCCACTCTGAGTAACCAAAGTAAAAATAACAACTTTCAAGTCTGTCAGTGAACAATGGCCTAAATGTATGAGTTATTTAAAGAGCACTGTGCTTTTGTACTCATCCAATACTTTGAAGAGGCTGCTGTACAACTCAGTCAACAGTTGCATTCACCTCAAAGAATTCAAGGGCTCATTTTTTAGATAATTGGATCCCATGCATATAGGAACCTGTCCAATTATTAACTGTCTGAGAGTTTAGAATATTAATTAAATTAATTACAAAAATACTGAATTGTAAATTACTATCATACTGTGGTTCAATGGCCAGGACAATCTTTAACCTATGAAAGAGAGCTGAAGAGAGTTAGCAGTTAACAGATGGGCTTCATTGAATCTCTGGTTTCAATTCCATTTGTTGTTGTAACCCTATGTCAATAATACACAGGTATCATCACTTTGGATAGCAATCACTGACTAAGCGATCTTGCATTGAATATTCTGTATATATCTATTCATTCAGGGACAACCATCAGTGTCAGTCAACAGGACCTGAGCTACAGTTTTGTTGAAAATTATCGAGCAGGATTTTTTTTTCCCCGGAGCAGCACAGAAAACAAAATATGCCTCAGTTTGTAAATCCAGGTGTGGGGACTTTTGCATCTTGGGACTATGTGGTTTTTGCAATGCTTTTTATCATCTCTTCAGGGGTAGGGATCTTTTTTGGCATCAAAGAAAGAAATAAGATGTCCTCCCGATTGTTCCTGATGGGAGACAAACAGATGGTTTTTGGTCCAATGGCTCTCTCCCTCACTGCCAGCTTCATGTCTGCAGTTACGGTGTTAGGAGTGCCTTCTGATATCTACCGATTTGGTGCTTCCTACATCCTCTTCTGCATTACCTTCATTATTGTCGTCTCAATCACAGCAGAGTTCTTTCTACCAGTCTTTTACCGATCGGGAATCACCAGCACGTACGAGGTAAGATTTAAACGGGCAAAAAAATGTTTTTAAGGCATCATTCACTCAATGGCAGGTTGACTTTGCATTGTGCTAGGTGAAAAGATTGACACGCACACACACACACAATTACAGGTCACAGTTACTAGGTAAGGTACAGAATATAATGTACAAGAACATAGTGCACTTCTACCAAAACCAATGTAGTGTAAATCCCACTCTTCACCATTTTCCTTAATTGTACAAAAGCTGTGCTAAACTGGATAAATTTAACAGAGACCTCTAAAATTGAAGATAGGCATGATAAAATAAAGCAAGAATAATCTTGTGTGCATTTGCAGATCAAATTACTTTTGATGATGATTACTAACACACATGCATTCAATTATATGACCTACTTTTCAATTTATCTTCCAGTATTTGGAACTGAGATTCAACAAGGTGGTTCGTATTGCTGCTATACTTATGTACATACCGCAAACTGTAAGACAGAACAGTTACCCAAACTAAATACATTTATATGCATATTTAACATTCAAAGTAAAATAGTAATTCAACAAATGATTGTTTTACTTGCAGATTCTCTACACAGCAATTGTGGTTTATGCCCCATCTCTGGCATTAAATCAAGGTAAATACAACAAAATGTTAATTGTTGTACATGAAACAAATATTGAGTTACAGCTTTGTTTAAGACACTAACTCGTGCAACAAAAACCTCTTGGAGGTACACAATTAAACTCAATTAAATATAATCCTTATGCTGAATCAGAAGTGAATTACAATATCCACCAATATCTACAACCGATATCTGAAATGTGTATTTTTAAGATTATGTTCATCTACCAGCAATATTTTTAGACTGGAGAAGGCAGGAGGGATAATTCTTCAAAACGTTGCAATTTTCTGCAAAGGGAACAGTTAGGTCTTTCAAAGATTTGAAAGTATCCTAAAGTTATATAGTTCTCGGGATGAATCGATTGCATAGTTTTAAAACCATTAAAGTGTGAATTCATGCACTAAGGATCCAAAAATAGCAAAACAGAATATTTTCTAAATGGTGAGAAACTAAGAACTGTGGAGGACCAACAGGATTTGGGAGTCCATGTACATAAATTACTAACAACAAGCTCACAGGTACAAAAAGTTATCAAAAAGGCTAATGGGATGTTGGTCATTATCTTAAGGGGAAGATAAAGGAGAGGAAATGATGCTTCAACTGTATAGAGCCTTAAGGTTAAATTATGAGGACAGGTTGCATAAACTGGTCTGTATTCCCTTGAGTTTAGAAGGGTGATCTAATAGAGGTTTTTAACATAATTAAAGGATTCAATAGGGTAGATACAGAGAAACTATTTCCTCTGGTGGAGAAATCCAGAACAAATGGCATAATCTTTAAATTAGAGCTTGGCCATTTAGGAGCGAAATCAGGAGGCAGTTTCCACCTAAAGGATAGGGAAAATTTGGAACTCTTGCCCTTAAAAGGCTGTGGATGCTGGATCCAATAAAATTTTCAAGACTGAGCTGTTTCTATGTTCCTAATATAAAGTTGGCCGCAATCCCAGAGTTCTGAGTCCATTAGAACCAATTGGAATAGTAACTATAAAATCTGTCATTTGCTGTACTCCCAGAAGCAATGACATATAAACACTAGTCAGTGTTCAAGTCTTAATGCGAGGTTCTCCATCTTTTTGATATTCAAAAGAAATCTCAGGTGATTTTCAAAATTAATGTAACTAAGTAAATTCATTCTTCTCTTCTCTACAGTGACTGGATTTAACTTATGGGGTTCAATAACTGCAACAGGAATTGTTTGCACCTTCTACCTCACCCTGGTACGTAAGAGTTTACATTAATTAATTAACAATTAATTAATTAACAATCAGATAGCTGTGCACTCAGCAAGACACTTTTGTTGCAAGTTCGCAGAAATAATGTTGAGCTCGAATGAAAATCGACTCCGTTTTTTCATCTGTAAAAAAGCTATTTTTACATTAAGCCAAATAGGCTAATCAATCATTACTATTGGCGCTTTGCCTTAATTGTCTGTTTTAAATATGCCAGCAGTAACTGCGAGATAAATAACTGAGAAAAGGCAGGGAAATGGGATTAGAAAGATAAATGTCTGCCATGAAAATGGTGAAGCAAACTCAATGGGCCAACTCCTTGTACCTAACCAACTTTACTGGTACTGCATAGTTTCAGTTCCTTGCATTTTGATATAGCACTTCTCACGTCTTCTAGACATCTCAAAGCGCTTCACAGAATATAATGTAAAGTGAATTGATTGTATATTTGTGGGCAAAACGCAGCAGCCAATTGTGCACAGCAGTGTCCCACAAATAGTCGTGGATTGAAGTCACCAATTTTGTTATTGTTTTTTTTCTTGAGGGATTATTATCAGGTGTGTGGAGCAAGGAAACTTGCCCAACGTTTTGCTCTGCTGGGAATTGAAACCAGGTCTCTCGCTTGCGAGGCGAGTGCTCTAAGCCTGAGCTACAGGACTCCACGTACATATATTGTCATGCTTGAAAACACGTTTACAGGAAAACAAGTCACTATATTTACTGTAACTTTAATTGAGTGAACTATTAACAGTTTTCTCAATGAAATATAAAAGTTTAAATTAAAATTTTCGAACCTTTTATAAATGTTTTCTGGGCTCGCAAATTGATTCCACCTTTTCAATAGCAACTAATTGATTTTCTTTCAAAAATAGATTTATTTTATAAGGCTGAAGTTTCACCCATCACATTAATGTCTTTCTGAATATTCAGGGTGGTTTTAAGGCAGTGGTGTGGACAGATGCTTTCCAGATGCTTGTGATGCTGTTAGGATTTTTAACAGTTCTCACTCAAGGAACTATTAAGTTGGGAGGAAGTACTAACATGTGGAATATCGCAAAGAGAGCAAACAGGTTGAATGCAGTCGAGTAAGTAAAAAAAGTCACATGGATCAAAATCATGAAAACAGAAAATAAACTGAACTTTTTTTGTAGAGCAAAAAATGTAGCTCTGAACTTGCTACTGCATTTGACAGAATTCAATACATGGAAATGATCTATTTTATCTGTGAAGCCAACGGATTGAACATCTTGCCTGTACTCTGGTGCCTTTGTCAAAGATCCGCACACAAACACACAAAAAGTTGAGGAAGTTTAAAATCAACAGAATAAGCTAAACTGTAACAAATCAAGAATGGGTCACTGTTTAAAATAAAGTTAACATTCCAGGTAGTTCAATCAGTTGGGAACCTGACTTAGACCCTCAGGTCCCAGGTTGGAAATTTCAATGCAGCATTCAGTTGTTCAGTCTTTAACGGCTGATAAAAATGAGTAGCTTCTGAAAATATTATGGGTGGTGGAGAGGAGAAAGAGCAAGATCTCTCTGGGCTCTTTGGATATACAACTGACAAAGCCAGGTACGTCTGCAATGATGCAAAGCACTAATAATGATTGACTCACCTGATTGGTTTGCCAGTGAGACTTGGAGTTGTAGATAGGTTTTCAACCCCATGAGCCGAAGTTCTAACAAGAGAGGCTGGTGCTTGCTAAAAAATACTACACTGCAAAATTATTTTAACAAAAAGATTTTTTGATGTTAGGTGAATATTAAAATGCTATAACCGATTAACAGATAGCAAAATGGCACATGCATAAATGAGTTAAGTAAAAGAACGCTTGGAAACTGGTCACTGGTGATTGTTTCAATTTACTCTAAGGTTTTCCCGTTTCTTAATAAGTCCTCACATGAGCCTAAATGAGCTCTGAAGTGCTGCCAAATGTTGAACATCTTAAGGTTATTGCACTCCAGCTGTTAAGTCGATTGGAGCCACTTTTATTGGCTGCTCATTGTTTTTTTGTGTGCCATGACTTAAATAAGCTTCCATTCAGTTAAATCTAGCTATCAAATGAAAACCAACTTTATAAAATGACAATTAAATATGACCCATTTTCAAATCTAAAAGCTTTCTACTACATCTATTCCTAATACTTATTTTAGAAATTAGACAATCTAGTAGGAACGTTTAGTGAGAATAATAATAATAATAATAATAATCCTTGCATTTGATATAGCGCTTTTCACGTCGGGAGGACGTCCCAAAGCGCGTCACAGCACACACTGTAAAGTGAATTGACTATATATTTGTGGGCAAACGCGGCAGCCAATTGCGCACAGCAATGTCCCACAAACAGTCGTAGAGAACAACAGAACTGAGCAAAATATGGATTCAATTGAATTGACTGAAATTTTAATTAGTTTTTCCACAGATCCTTTGAGGCGTCATAGCTTTTGGTCAATTGTTGTAGGAGGCTCATTTACATGGCTAGGAATTTACGGAGTGAATCAGTCCATAATTCAACGATGCATATCCTGTAAATCAGAAAGACATGCAAGAATGTAAGTCATGATTTTTTTTGTCAAACTGATATAGAGAAATATTTTATTGGGGAGGGGAGGAGGAGAGAATTTGTGATATCAAAGTCATGAACAACAGTCAATTCAGGCTGATCACAAGCCTTTGACCATATACAACTCCACCAGTGGCAAGGATATGGTCCCTCTATCAGTTATTAAATCGAGAACTTTGATTCATTGCATTACCGCTGGATTTAGGAATCACTCGCATTAAAGAAACAAAAATGGTGCAATTCTCTGAAAGGCAACACTAGTTCAGGTTATAGATTCAGGCAATTTCTTTTTACAAAGTAACATGTGAAGCTTCATAAAATGAAATTCTGGCCTTGACAATCCAAGCATCAATTCAGAATGGCTGAACATAGTACACATATATTAATGATTCCACTAAATGCAATTTCTACAGACAAAACATTACGATTGTAAAACAAGGTTCAGATCTGTGTTGCATTTTTTTAGAAAAACTCCCAAATCCAAATCAAGAACTCTTGTTTGTATTTAAATAACATATGTTGTCTGTAACATTGATTAAGACTTATATGCTTTCCTTTCCTAGTGCATTGTATCTGAATTTAGTTGGTCTCTGGGTGATCACTATCTGTGCTGTGTTTAGTGGACTACTTATGTTCGTGCACTACATAAACTGTGATCCATGGACTGCTGGATTCATTTCAGCACCAGATCAAGTAAGGACACTCTGAATGAATCTCTCTTCAGGTTTAAAAAAAAACACTCAGATCACATCAATCTAGTAACAATGCAGAATAATATCAAGAATGTTGAAGGGTAAATAATAATTCTTGTATTTATTTGATATAAATAATCCTTGCAGTTGGTATTGAGCCTTCCATGTCAGGTGAGTGCCTCAAATGCAAGGATTATTATAATCATCAAAACTAGCCCCAAGTTTACAAAGGTTTTCTATACCATACATGATATCTATAAACTGCTGTAAAGTTTTTTTTCCAATATTGATCTTTTTCATGTTCACATAAGTGAAAAATAAAGAATAAGCATATTTTAATGACACAGGTAATTCAGAAATAATTCCTGCCACCATAAATCATATTTAAGTGGATGCTGCCTTAATTAGCATTACAGCTTCATTCTGAAAAAAATAATCTTGCTCTGCTAGATAATTTTTATTCAACTCTTTTTTAAAAAATAAGTTTCATTGAAAGACTGTGGTAATAATAATCCTTGCATTTGATGTAGCATCATTGAGCTGTTTGAACGTGCTTCACAGAATATAATTTAAAGTGAATTGACTGTATATTTTGTGGGTGAAACTAGTAATGCTGTACCTTAGTTTACTAAATTACAAGTAATTTAGAAAACTAAGAGTCACAGAGGCTGTGCAATTCACAACGAATGTCATGTTTGTGTAATGCTATATCAATTGCCTTGCTTGGAATCGCACATCACAGAACTGTCTGACATTTAAGCTCCCCTACTATTATATGTGAAGCAGCTCAGCAGTTTAGAGCCAGACAAGCAGGTCAGACTTGTTTTTTTCAGAAAAACAACACTTGAATGAGCCATACTCACAAAGCTGACTTTATGCCTTCTTAAACCCTGGGCATTATAATCTGCATCACTGGAACTCAGTTTACTTATCAATGTATTTATGCTTTGGAGAAAAAATATTAAAATGCAAACCCTATAGTTTTTAAATTCAGCCATTAAATTTCTTTTTTTAAAGTTGATGCCTTATTATGTCATGGATATATTGGGAAACCAACCAGGTCTTCCTGGACTGTTTGTGGCTTGTGCATTTGGTGGTACTCTTAGGTGTGTATACTTTTATATGTTCCTCTAATAATTCCAATATACAAATCAATCAAACTATAAAGCTAGCTTTTGTGCATGTTGTGGTTATCACCACTATATCCTCTAGCGCTCTGATCACCACTGCATTTTCTAGTGCTTTACTCTGCATGGGAGACGTATATAAATGCAAGTTGTTGTTGTATATTTTTACCATAGCACTGTAGCTGCCAGTATCAATTCGCTTGCAACAGTAACGCACCAAGACTTGGTTAAGGGTTTATTCCCCAACAGCTCGGAAAAGTTGAGCTTTTTTATCAGCAAAGGACTATGTGAGTATTTTTTGTATATAGTTAATTCACATTTACTTTAAAAAACCAAACGAAGCCTGTGGGGTAGAAGAATTTAATTTCCATAGTTTGTTCAGAGAAATAATCCTCTCCTACCATGCGCCACATAGGTATGGTGAAAATTCCAACTTATACCATTGCATCTATTTTATTCCTTTGCTAGAGATGCTCCCCTGCCTTCCACCAGCAACATCTGGTTAATCCATCATCACTATTAATAGCTTATGTTCAATGGCTAGTTAATAAAATAAAACAATTATTTACCATTAGAAGTTGAGCTGAACTTTACAGCATTTCAGTAGAGATGTAAGACCTTGAATAGATTCTCGGAATCTCTGCGGAACAATTATTCTGTGGCTTCTGACGAGGAAAGTAGGAAATATTACAAAATAGATTTCTTCACAAGACAATATCGCACGATTCCAGTGGACCTGGTTAAGAAGTCTGGTTGGGAGGAAAGCTTTACTATTTATTCAACTTTTAATATGCGGAGCCATCTGCTAACCTGTATTTTTTCCCCATTATTTTCCAGGTCTACTATTTGGTGCAATATGCACTGCAATGGCAGCAGCAGCCTCCTTAATGGGAGGAATTATACAGGTAAACAATGTACACTATTTCAATTTTTACAGAAATCTTTTCCCACCTATCTATGACACATTGTGTTACTACCCAAATGTTTACAGCCTAGAAATCTGTCAAAGACATTTACTCTCCAAGTCCAAACTCTTGAGTTTCTATGCTGTACCAGATGGAATTTCACAGATTGAATGTTACATATTAACAATGTATTTTGGTTCACACACACTGTTGCCTCTACAAATGTTTAATCATTTAGTGTCCGGTTCAGTTCTACATCTCTTCATTTTATTATCCACAGTATCAGAGTTCATGGAACACAAAACTTAAGCTTCAAATAATGCATTTGGTTTTGGGTTCCTATGAATTTATTTTTCTAAAATAATGTTTCATGATGAAAAATTTCTGCCTAGTTCCGCTGTCCAACTTTTGTTCCCAAGTTCTAAAAGTCACACACTGCAGACCCGTAATGTAGTCTTCATTGGTCTGATGTGCTTCTGAAGCCAACCTGGTTATACATTGGGGAACAGGTGAAACAGAAGACAGCAGCATCCTCATAGCGTTTTTCAGGACACAGTTCAGGACTTTCGCTTCTGGCTGATATGGTGATGGGTATCTGCATGTGTCAGACATCCAGCTGACCAGAACAAAGATCACTAAATAGGAAGCGTAACTCTGGATCTGGAAGGATCTCTTATAAGGGATGGAAATCAGGCAGAACATTGACATCTCACCCTTTTGAGCTTGAGAACTTTTCCTCACCTTAAAAAATGCAATACTCAAAAGGAAAGGCCAACATATATAAATATGCTCTGAACTCACGATCCTGTTTTGACTTACAGGCTGCACTCAGCATTCATGGCATGTGTGGAGGCCCTATGCTCGGACTATTCTCATTGGGTATTTTATTCCCTTGCTCACATTGGATTGTGAGTACATAAGAGTAAAAAAATCAGTAGTTTTGTTCCATTGGCTCTTGTTGTGCACAATAATGTTTAAAACTATGGATTCTCTGTACAGGGTGCTCTTGGAGGGTTCATCATTGGAATATTAATGTCTTTCTGGCCTGCCGTCAATGCATTTATTTATCCTGCACTACCAAGAAATACACTACCCTTATTTTTAAACACAAGTGGCTGCATACCACTGAACACATCGGATTCGTATTCCAGTGTAAACCCCATATTAATTCAGCGAATCTATAGGTAAGTTTGCATTTCCCAAACAAACTTAACGTTTACAATAATTAAATCAAGTTGCATGCGTTAACAATACTCTTGTTTCACTAGACCTCCTCTGGCAGACAGCTGGTATGCCATATCCTACCTATACTATAGTGCTCTAGGATTCCTGGGGTCACTGGTAGGTGGACTGCTAATCAGCTTCATATCAGGTTTGTTCTAATCAGCCAATCCCTGAAATCTGAATGTTGTTTGCATCAAAAAAACTCCAATCCCTCTCACGTAGCTCAGTGGAGTCCAGTAATAATAATAATATTAATAATCCTTGCATTTGATATAGCGCTTTTCACGTCAGGAGGATGTCCCAAAGCGCTTCACAGAACACATTGTAAAGTGAATTGACTTTATATTTGTGGGCGAACGCGGCAGCCAATTGCGCACAGCAATGTCCCACAAACAGTCGTAGATTGAAAATGACCACTTAAAGGGCAGTATCTTCACTTAAACAAAACTGCAGTAAAACACAAGTCTGATCTGTATAAAGGGTTTAAACGCCCAAGTCGACCATCTGCACAAGTCCTGTTCAATTTTCTATTAAATTCACTTGAATTTAAATGCACCAGTTGAATTAGTAATGAATACCAGGTAAAGTGAGGAGCACTCGCCTTCCATCATTTCTCACATGTAGTTGACCAGCCTTTGAGCACAGCACTGAACATCTTATGGCTCTAGTCTCGGGTGATTCATGCCAATCTGGCCACCCTTTAAGAACACCTACAGACCCAGTGGAGATAGGTCCCTCTACTACATGGCTCGCTGAATGCCAGACATCTGATTATGGTCAGCAAGATGGCGGAAGGCAATTCTACTGAGACGCCACCAGTAGCTCAGTGGTTAGAGCACTCGCCTCGCAAGCGAGAGACCTGGGTTCGATTACCAGCAGGGTGAAACCTTGACCAAGTTTCCTTACTTCACATGCCTGATAATAATCCCTCAAGAAAAAAAACAATAATAAATTGGTCATTTCAATCCATGGCTGTTTGTGGAACACTGCTGTGTGCAATTGGCTGCCACATTTCACCCACAAATATACAGTCAATTCACTTTACATTATATTCCATGAAGCTCTTTGAGACGTCTAGAAGACATGAAAAGCACTATATCAAATAATAATAATAATAATCCTTGCATTTGATATAGCGCTTTTCACGTCGGGAGGACATTCCCAAAGCGCTTCACAGAACACACTGCAAATGCAAGGGTTATTATTTTATTTTATTTATGTAAGATTTTCTAAAAAGAACTATTTTATGCAATGTAGTTCATGGTCTGATAATGACTAAGCAATGTGGATGAGACATCTAATGCCTTGGCAGCGAAGTTCAGCACTAAAATGACATGTCAGAAAATTTGATGACTTCACTGTACAGAGGTCTCAGGTTCAAGGCTTCAGGCTGCCTGATATAAACTGCAATGAGAGTGTCTGTGTCTCAATTGAGTGACTGGAGGGAAAAAAAATCAGGGCACAGCTTTGCAGCCCATCAAGAGAAGAAAGGTCAACAGCCAAAAACAAGGAAGCTTAAACAGAAGTTTTAAACAAATAAAACATTTTCAGTTGCTATTTCACAACGTAAGTCAGTAGTAAAATTTTGAGTGGATGCACAGAAGTACTAACACAACTTACTGGAAACTCTGATCTCTGTTCCAGGATCTAAATATAACAAAGAAGTGAAGCCGTCATTGATGAGACCGGTCACTGGTCTGTTTCAGTTTTGGTCATATAACTGGTGCGACAGACAGCACGAGGAAAGCAAACCAGAGGTTAGATTCATAACCAACACTTCATCTAAGGAGTGCATTACTTAACCTTACTTAACTTTAACTGATGCATGTTTTATCACAACCGTAAATGTTGGCTCGAGCTGCTCACAAAAATAAAGGCAAGTTGAAGTTTATCTTCATCTGATATAGAGTCAAGAGGCAATCTGTAATTACTTACTCAAGCTGTTAAGGGTCTCGAGTGAGATGAGGTTGGCCGGGGTGGGGGATGGGGGTAAGAAGATAACAGTTTGCAGCAGTTTGATATCCCTTGCAACTGTGGAGACTTAAAGCACAGAAATCCTATTCGCTACCCCACTGTAAATGCAAGTTGTTATTGTTTACCTCTCTAAGAACAATTAAAAAGTTTATGGGCCCTACTGTGGACCGCTCAAAACCTTTAGAATCAACTGCATAACTGCATTTATACTGCAGCTAATGATATCTAAACCTTGTTTGAATCAAATTCCACAACTGCACATTTAGTATGGAAAATTTGATGGGAAAGTGCTTTATAAATTCACCACAGTAGTCTCCGAACTGGCCGTTATTACGGTTCTGACATTTGTAATTATTTCTTCCCAGGACGACAATGAGAAAGAAACTGTGGATAATGCCCAAGTAATGACAGGATCAGAAAGCGAGCTCCAGCAGATGTCTGATCAAGCCTCAACAAGACCTTTACCTGTGATAAGCCAGAACAGCATGATAATATTGGAGTCACAAAAACTCATATTTTTAACTTCCATAGGAAATTTTTTAAAATGTGAATTTATAATAGATAACTTATCATTATAATCAAAACAAAGAGCGAGGCCAAAATTCTCTTGGTTATTAAAAATGATCTTGTAAACCCATGTTAAGGTCTTCATCTCATTAATTTGAATGGTTTCTCATGTGTGTGAAATTTTTCAATATTGAGTGTGTGAAGTAAAAACGAAACAGTGACACAAGGAAGCACTTTCAATGGAGTTTTTGACTCATTATCAAGATTTATTTAAACTTTCCTGGATTCTGCGGCAACATGGACTGATAAGACATCTTCGGGAGACAGGCCATCTTCAAAATTTAGCAAGAATTAACATTCTTTCCTTCACAGCCAGAAAGCAGAAGTCTACAAATAAGGACAGGAGAGCAGTGCTTGAAGTCAGACCCATCACTATAATCACAATAACACCAGATCAGACAGGTACCCACTAATACCTCTGGTAATGTGCATTCAAGGCTGGTATATTTCAGGAAACCTGCTCAAAGGCTTCATTCAGCAAAGGCTTTAATAAGGGTTTTAACAAGGTAAATTGTTGATTTTTTCATTTGCTTCTGATAGATCTTCGTTCAGATTTGCAGGAAACTAAATATTGGGCAAGAAAAAAAAAGCTGTTGGTTTTGTAAAGAAATTTTATCTATTAAAGAACCACAAGATAGCCGCTTACATTAGCAACCTGAGAACGTTTTTGCCTTCAGCATAGGTGTACATGTGATCCAACTACTATTGAAGCACTGAGGAGATCTAGCAGACAGCTGGCTGTTGAACCCTCCAGTGCTAAATTCTATTAATAGAGCATCTCCACAGTAATAAAAATGTCAACAGTGGAATTACATTAAAATTAGAACAAACTCGCAAAATTGATAATAGCAATATCATTATTTCGGACCCGACACAAAGCTACTAACATTTTTACAAGCTGGTGCTAAGAATAAAGCTATAGAATTGCTAAGAAGCCGTCCATGGTTGCCAATATACAGTATTTTTACATCCTTTTTTGTTAAACAACCTCTAGTCCTTATAAACTTTAATAATAATAATCCTTGCATTGGTATAGCACCTCATCGTTTCAGAAAGACCTTTCAAAGCGCATCACAGGGTTTACTGGGAAATGGAGCGACTGATCTGTAGGTAAACATGGCAACACAATTGCATGCAGCAATGACCCATCTTTTTATTATTATTAATAATAAAATAATTACTTTTAGTTTAGAGCCTTTCACATTGGGAGGACATCCCAAAGTGCTTCAGGGGATGTACTGCAAAGTGGACTTACTATGCATTTTGTGGGCACTTTAATTAGTAGATAATACCATGAGCTGCTAATTAATTTGAGAGATACATTTGGATTAAGGAATACAAACCAGGTTAACCATGATCAAACCAGGAGAGAGCTTCTTTGATATAGCAACAACAGAGCAGTACCTTTATGTCCTTCTGAATAACAAGGCTGATCAAACCTAAAATTAACACGATCGAGGGATGGGATGATGATCTGAATTAAATAATATGTTATTTTAACAGAAAATGTACTTAATGCCTATTTTTAAGCATTAACCAAAAGCAATTCTTGTAAAGTTTTAATCTCCCGTGTCTAGTTTTGTGTAAAAGGTCGATCAGTACAGTGCATGTTTCAACTCACTGAATCAAAACACCATTGTGCATCAGAACTTTATTCATGAAAAATGCAATATCGAAATTTATATAGTCATTACAATTTTCTTTATACATGTAAGTTTTACAAAATACTGCAACAATATTTTGCAAATATTAGAATAATGCAGCCCAATCAAAAATAATTACATTAAATGTTACAGCACAGAAGCATGCCATTTGGCTTAACTAGTCCATGCCAGTGTTCATACTCTACACGAGCCTCCACGCTGGAGAAAAACATTCTGGGAATGTTTTTCCCAGAAAAAAAAGTGAGCAGCTTATTGTTTTTCTGCTCTCTAGTGTCCTCAAAGAAAACATTTAGTGCTGTAACCTTGTATTAATTCTTTCAGAGGTGAAATGCAGCTCCTAGCTAATGATAAACAGTATGTGTTTTCTTCTGTCAGAGGTGCTAAAAAATCATGCATAACAGTCTTCACAAAGGGTTGCAGATGCTACTGGTGTGCCAGATTTTGTCTAAAGCATGATCCAGTGATAAAATTCACATTTGCAATCATGTAAATGTTGTTGGAACATATTGCATTATCAAACCATCATGCGGTTATTAAGTATATCTGCAATGTACATCATTATGTGACTTGTGGGCTGTACTGTAGAGGTGAGAAGGAGATGCTGCTCTTCTGATCATTCCCCCTTGCCCAACAGCAACAACAATAAACCTTTAACAAAGGGTATTTCAACACATGGCTCTTTTGTAAACAGAAAGGTACCGGAATACAGAAAACTGATCGCAGTAACTTTTTTTTCATATAAAATGTATTTTTTGTTATTTCCGAACCACAGCAGCAACCTGCTTATAAAAAGGTCTAAATAAATGCATGGAAAAGTTATCAATGCTTTGCACATGCAGCATAAGCTTCTTCAGCAGAGCAAATTGGTCTGTGACGAGAATAACATTGTGCAATAAGCATGCAAAGGTTCCCGAGGATGAAGGATCCTATATAAATTCTTAAACTGCATTCCATAAATTTCAGATCCTTGCCAATCCAGGGCTTTGAAATGAACAAATTTTAACTTCTAGCTGTAAACAAGGAGGTTACATTGTAAATTATCCATTGAAAACCCTCTCTCAAAAATAGGATGCAGGCAAGTTTGATAAAGTCCTTCTGTAAACAATCAGTAGGTGGGTTTGAGGATTTTTGTCCTCTCTCTTTAGCAATTGCCTTACCTCCCCTCAGGCCCTTTAACTGGAACCTGGCTGAACAGCAACTCATGCCTTGAATCTCAAGTGCCCCTTATTGACGTGTCAATACACCAACCAAAAGGCCAATTCCATTCCATGTCTTCATTCATTCTCTCCGACATATATTCAAGTCGCCATCAAATGTCAGGGGAACATCTACTTGATTACAACAGTATATTGCAAAACTTTCAACATCAGCGTCAAATCTGCAACAGTGTTTGGGGAATTATCTGTTTTGTGCCACATTTGACCAACATCTACTGCAATGAAGCCCATGCAAGTCTGCGTCTGGGAGGAAGAATTCTGCAATTCACATGCATCGGGCATTGGTTCATTCAGTTTGGAGTTTTTTTTCCTCTCACAACAAATGAGGAACTCAGGTGCAAATGGCATTTGCATAATATGGAAAGGCTTTCCCTACAGGCCAGGTTTTCATGTTGGAGATTAAGGTAAACAATGCTTTCTTGTTCAAAGACGAAGACATTTGGAACAAATTGGCAAAGCATGAACACTGAGAATGGTCTCTGGGGAATTGTGCTCCTATTACAAATATGAATTGATATAGATGGTAACAAAAAATGTTAAGGAAAAGAAGCAGCAGTGCTACATATAGGACCACAGAAATTGAGGCATGTTGCACACAACAGCACATGGAATACAGTATATGACTTGTGATTCAAAGATGTTAAGAGTTAAGGTGATGGAATTATCCTCAATAGAAGTTACCAACCTCAGAACATTACTGAGAATATTTGGAAGAATGAAAGGTTGACATAATTGTTATTGACATAATCAACAATTTAGCTTCCCCTTTTTTTAAAAAAATAGTTTTTTTTTTAAACAATGATTGTGAGAATAAGATCAAAGTTAATTAAGGAAGGAATAAAAAGTACACCTGTAAATAAAACCTGGCCTCCCCTTTCATCGCTTAAAACCATTTCTGAGCCACAAGCCAGCACTGTAGATGGTGACCATTTATGGAAGAGGTTTTGTGGTTTCTGACAATGAGAATAAGATGCATGCACTTTCTTTAAAATAGTCGTTAGAAATCTGCAAATTGAATAGATATGAAACAGATGCAACAAAATAGAAACTTAAAAATAATTTAATATTTTAGCAAACCAATAAGCACAAACAAACTCCAGATACAGCAGATAGACACTGGCTTCTGTAATAATATGTTTACAACAGTTTTATGAACAGATCTGAACAGGGCGTATTGTTATGCGAGCAAAATATATCAGGGCAATAACGTGATTTGAGAATAAATAGACTGCTTCACAATGCAATTGTGCAAATTTGTATTTATAGGACACATGCAGACAATCCAACTTAAGAGATCCATCCTGATGTTCTTAATATTAATTACTTGTAATTCCTGTTATATTGTGGGACAGCCTATTTAACCTTCCAAGCCTTTAGATTGAGCAAAACTATGGACAACATTAAAAATAAATGAGTAGCAATGGAAATCCTGCTAAACAATAATGTTGCCTAACCTCCTATGTTATGCTGCACCTGTAAGATCTAAACAAAGTTAACAATTGGGATCAGATTTGGAGAGAGAGAAAAAAAAACTGTTGCTGTTTGCTGTCAGTACTGAAGGCATTGCACTGGGATCAGATGAGGCAAAGCATCCTAATTTAGTCAGATCAAGGTCAAGTCAGTTCATACAAGTTATATTTGTCTTAAAATCTTAATCCTTTTTGACGCAAGTCAGATTTTAGCCTCAGCAGTTGAGATGTCCGTAATACAATCCTTGGTGGGGGGAGGTGAAAAAATGCCACATTTCAGATTAGATTTGATCATCACATTGAATCCGATATGAACTGACACATTATTCACCTCCTTACTTTTCCAATCTGATGCCATCAGGTGATAACAACTGAGAGTTGAGAGAAGCAACATCGAAAAGTGAACAGAATCTCATATGAAGAAGTTAGTGCAAGTCGACAAGGATTTATAGCTTGGGAGCAATATTGTTGGTCATATGTTATCAGAAAGAGATCAGATGATACTAACAGTGCATCTACTTATTTGTCAGACCTTTGGTACAGGTTAGGCTTTGTGGAGGGCTGAAGGGTAAAGCTTCGAGACATTTTGTATAGTGGCAAAAGTGAGGAAGTTTAAAGCAGAAAGCAGTCAAATCTTTCATGAAGGATGATGAAGAATGGACGGACGGACACATGGCTAAATCTCCGAGAGTACAAGCAGGACAAGAAAAAAAAACCTATGGAAGAAATGTGCGAGAGAGATCACACTGCACCACAGAGCAATGCCCAGTTACAGAGGTCATGTTGGTATGAACACATTTCGAACACAATAGCAAACAAAAGGTATAAATATCAGCCAAGTGTATAGTGCAAATCAATACGTACAGATTTTTTAAATTCTCTAAAGCTCAGTGCTGAAAGGTAGAGGTATAAGGTTTGATTTACTTTATTTTATGCTCAGGAGACTCACAGGGAAGAGGAGATTAGAATCGTTTTGATTGCTGCTATCCCTATTTAACACAGAGATGTGCTTTTCTAAATGTATCCAAATGTTTGGCTACAAGAAAATGAATGAATAACCTGATAAGGCAACGTTTGAAGCTGCAACTCTATCCTATTTGCCATCACCTTTACTTACACAGTACTGGAAAGGATCAATAAATATGATTTACAACCACCAGTGGAGGAAACATCATCTCACACCTATTGTAACTTAATTCAGTCTTTTTGCTTCAACTTTTAACCACAATAATATTCATTAAACATAATAGGAAAATTTCAGCAACTACAATATGCACGTAATACAACCCAGGTGAGACTTGCAGTGTCCGCTCATTCTAGATAACTTTGTGTTGACAGCTATAATGAATGAATAAGAATATAAAAGTAATTATCGTAATAACTAAGTGGTTCATTTTTTTGTAGACTGGAAGTTTTGTTCAATAATAATCTTTGCATCTGATATAGTGCCTTATCACGTCTTTGAGACGTCTCAAAGTGCTTTACAGGATATACTCTAAAGTGAATTGATTGCATATTTTGTGGGCAAAACCAGCAGCCAATTACACACAGCAGTGTCCCACAAACAGTCGTGGATTGAGTGACCAGATTATTATTATTATTTAACTGGCATAAAAGCACTGGTTTCAAGAAATTGTCTGAAATCCTTGACACTTCTATTCACCCAAAAATATTGTTGGGACAACAGCACTGATTACAGTAATGTGTTCAGAGTCCTATATTACATAAGGCTGGTTAGTGCTGCATAGTAAACAGCTGATTTGCACTAAATTCCTTCTTCATAACAAAACCCTGCAGATGGGTAAATCAGAACGTATTAAGCAGCCATATACATTAACAAGTTAATCCCAATGATTTGACAACATGGCCTTACTGCTATTGTGCCCAAGCATTGCTTAAGAGAGTTAATATAAAATTACTCGAAATGGTGTATAAATACCATTTTAAAAAAGATGTTGATGTGGTAGTCTTACAACAGACCTCTTTCCTTGACCCTTGCATTGCTGGATCAGTGGATACAATACCTGCATAGGTACTAACCTGACTTCCATACCTGTTGATCACAGGTCCTTTACAAGTCAAAAATCAATCAAAATCAGGAAACAACCATGATGTGGACGTCAAAAGATGTCAGATATGATTATAAGCACCCGAACGGATATAACAGTAAAAGCTCTCACATGTAATGCATTTTGTAAATTGAGGAAAAATAGATGCAACATGCAAGAGATTTCACCACAACTGACAGACTGGTAGCAAAAAATAACACACACACACACACACACACGAACGAGCTATGTTGGTATAAACTCGTAAACATTTGAAATAGAAGAGTCACACACTGGTACATAATAATAATAATAAATCCTTGCATTTGATATTGCGCCTCATCACGTCTTTGAGACGTCTCAAACTGCTTGACAGAATATACTGTAAAGTGAATTGACTATATTTTGTGGGGCGAAACGCGGCAGCCAATTGCACACAGCAACGCCCCACAAATAGTCGTGGATTGAGTGATCAATTTATTATTATTATTTATTACATAGCGTCAGATGCAAGCCATCTTAGTGCAGATCATCAGCTGCAGTGGGATCTACCTGCTTTCAGAAGCCAAGAAAACAATCCCGATGTGAGGAAATCCTGCGTAAACTATCAAACGCCTCACAGTTGATCACTGCATATCTGCAAGAACTTCCATTCCATATACAACTAACTGCTAATTCCCAAAGTATATTGCTTCATCGTTTCCAACTTGTACTAGTAACAAAGTGCATTATTGATCTTGCTTAGTCAAGTTCTAGGGTGTTTATTGATGGTGACAAGAGACTAAATGCAGAATGACAATTCCATTTCCCTGTGCACTGCATGTCAAAGCGCAGGAAGTTGCCTGAACTGAATGGTTATGCAGCACTCAACTCATAAGTGGCCAATGGAAGCACATTCATGGTACTTGCCAGTATATATGATCTGCCCATTGACCATGAGTGGAAAGAATGAAGCAGGATATGAAAGTGACGGTACTTTTTGGTTGGCCTCGGCAACCTGCAGCCTTCAATCATCTCTCAAGACGAACACCTTTTGCGAAAGGATTTTCTTTCCGCTTCCAACGGCGATACGTGAGCAAATATCGGTTGGTGCATCATCATATCAGCAGGTAGAACTCTCCCCTGGCCTCCAGCCTTGTGACATTTCTTGCACCGATCTGTTAGACATGAAACAGAGTGTGGGCAGCAGTGCTCCACTCCCTTCAGTCTTTCGTAAATATAAAAAGTATTATTAAACTTGCAAATAACATGTCCGGCGTAGCTGGCATCTCCATTCAGCTGTTGCAGTGCAATCCCCCGCCCCTCCCAATGGAGAACTTGCTCGTATCAACAGTCCTGTGCTCTGTGCTGTTAAGGCCATTCATGGTGATATCTTTTGCCGTTCTTCTTCCGCTCCTGCTGCAGGTGCTCCAACTCTGCCTCGTACATCATCTCCTGCACCAGGTACTTCTCTCGCCGCATTCGATCGCACAAGTCTTTGGGCATGTCAGGGATAAGGTAGGCTATGAAGGATTTTATCCCAAACACTAAGTGCTGAAAATGAAAAGGCAGAGAATAGTCTTTAAAATCTTCGCACACATTTTAAAGATCCCTCTGCCTCACCTTTCCCCTCCTCTTTAACCTTCCTAAATCCCACCTTGAGACTTATCTCGTTGACTATGGTCATATACTTATGAACATCATTTATTTGCAAACGAAAAGACAAAGCTACCATAAGAACCTAAGGTGCAGGACTACTGATCCTTATAAGTGCTCTGAGTCGCTGCCCCACGCAAAGAGTGTTATGTAAATGCAAGTTGTTTTGTTATAAAGATGCTCATCACACGACTGACCTCGAACACTATGATGAAAGCTAAACGTGCAGCTAGGACATGCCAGAATTGCAACGTGAACTCGTATCTGTTCGGATCCCAAGGAGGCGCTCTGTAGTCTCTGTATCTAAAAGTTTAAAGGCGAAAGAGAATTAGCAGTTATACGGTTACCACATTACGGTACAACTCGCAAAAGTCTTATCTGTCTCTTGTTAGCTATTGACTTTAGGTGCTATTTTTTGTTTTGTGTCGTATATACGAAAAGTAGTATGTCATTCAGCCCTTTGAGCTCTTTTCACCTTTGTATCAGTTCAGGGCAGCTCTTTGTTATTCCAATATTATTGCCCCACTTTAATCAAAATCCCTTACTTTCCAAATACAGTTCTTTCATGGAGTCACATAATGTATGGTTCAGATTTCATTTGAGGACAGGTTGCCAGGAAGGGTGATGAGGCCAGGACACTGGAAAAAGATGAGAAGCTATGTGTTCTGCAAAAGATGAGATTGTATGGGCTGAAGGGCCTTCTTCATCTGCAATGTGATGTTATGGGGGGAGTGACATGCGGGTGTGTGTGGGTGTGTGTGCATATATATATATATATATTTAGCTAAATAAATGTATATGTGATAGTTTCATTGGCAGAATCCTACTCACCTGCAGTAACCTGTACCTTGTGTTCCAAACTCGCTCACGTTGAAAAAAGACAAACTCCCATTTACATAGCCCTTCAAGCACCTGAAAGAAATCATTAAGACACCTTATCTGCATAAAGCAAAATAATAACTGCTCCCCATATTTGCTTCCATTTGCTGCTGGTTTGCAGGTTTTAAATTAGAAAGGATTTACTCAGTTCCCAAGTCATCTCAATTACCTGAGAAGATTGAGAAGGCAGGATTGGAGGACAAATCCTTTTAAAATGTTAGCACTCAAAGCGCTTTACTTAATCCTTCATTTCAATCAACACGTTTCCTTAGCAGGTGATCTCTAAAATGTAGGCTTTTTCCTTTGAACCCAGGTGTCTGCTCGCTCCATTAGCTCTCATTTGGCAGATGTGGTGTACACTGAGCTTGAACACACAGGTACAAATAAGACCATCTTAATCCTTAAAGCATCAGTTATGTGCTAAAACATTTCTGTCTGTCTATTTCAGGGCCAAGTGAATAAACCATTACTCTTGTCACAAGAAGGACGAGAGTCCTGAAGAGAAAACAGGATCCACAAAACTATTTCCTTTTTTTTGGCAAACATTTAAGCACCTGTAGTGAGCAGAGCAGAACATATTTTCCCCACTGTATACTCCGAATGTCACAATCCAAACACTTTCAAACCAGATATGGCATAGATGCAGAGTTCAGCTCTCTTGCTTTATCACAAAAATATACCATGATTCCACAATCTTCTCTCTCCCGCCATCCAATTTTCCACATCATTAACCCCTTTTTATGCTGTCGGAAGGACTGCTATTTTAATTCTATTGATCCGATATTGCATTTCAATTTTGTTAGCAAATTGTTTCTCGATACCAACCAGAAAAGGGTTACATCGATGACCAGGTTTTAGAAAACACTTTACAGCCACGTGAAGTCGGTTAATGCTTTAAAACCGATTCAGAATTTCACGCAATAATAATTGCATGATTTAAGCAACAAAAAAATACGGTTTAAATTAAACATTATGGACAAGACAATAGGCAGGAAAAGAAGTCTACACAGAGGATGGTTGGAACATAGAATTCTCCACCACAAGCCATAGCTGAAGCAAAGTCCATTAATACTAATAAAATGGGAATTAAGATTCTGTTTGTGGAAGGGTTGCGGGAGAATCTTCCAGATTTAAATATTAAAGTGAGAAGGTGAGGGACTAATGTGGTAACACACCAGGGCGAGATGATTTGTTTAAAGAACAACCTATGCACTAATATGAACAAAATGTTAACCATCAATCTCTAATAATAATAATAATAATAATCCTTGCATTTGATATAGCGCTTTTCACGTTGGGAGGACGTCCCAAAGCGCTTCACAGAAAACACTGTAAAGTGAATTGACTGTATATTTGTGGGCGAACGCGGCAGCCAATTGCGCACAGCAATGTCCCACAAACAGTCGTAGATTGAAAATGACCACTTAAAGGGCAGTATCTTCACTTAAACAAAACTGCAGTAAAACTCGCACAAGTCTGATCTGTATAAAGGGTTTAAACGCCCAAGTCGACCATCTGCACAAGTCCTGTTCAATTTTCTATTAAATTCACTTGAATTTAAATGCACCAGTTGAATTAGTAATGAATACCAGATAAAGTGAGGAGCACCAATTTATTATTGTTTTTGGTTTTGGAGGGATTATTATTAGAATGCCACAAAGAACATTTCAATTGGAATATTTGCAAGGAAAACAAAACGAGAGAGAGAGAGACGTACTTTTCCTGGGTGTAGCCCTTGTCCGCACATGGGCCATATTTGAACGCATAGACAAAGCGAGGGATGTAGTCAGAAGTAATGGCAATCACGAATGCATTCGTGATGACAGCCAACACCCCGATTCCTTCCAGGATTCCATACCAGATTCCTAGCAAAGAAAAGCAAAGGGACACTTAAGAACATAAAGACAGGAGTCCATGCACCATGCAGCCCACCAAGCCTGGCCTGTTCTGCCACCTTACTAGATGACGACAGACGTTGCCCTCTTCTTTCTATTCCCTAATTTTTTGTTTTATTTGGGAAATGGGGTGGTGGGGGTGGGGGGGGGGTTGGACAGGACACCAGTAGAAACTCCCTTCTCCTTTCGAGCACTGCTTTATTATAATAATAATTATTATTTTAGGATTTTAGGACAGTTTTGGAACTAAATTATAGACTTGAATGCAATTGAAGAGAATAAAAGAGAAAACTGCAAAATAGGTTTCGAGTTACCTCAAGGTTATTAGGATTTTTCTTATGTTCCCTCTGTTGTGGCAGAAACATCACTCTAAATCTGTAACCTTCAGGTGTCTAAATCAGCTACTTTATGATGTAGAAAATCTATTTCTCTGCCTCGACCCTTGATTCCAGGACAACTGATGTCCTGACAGACTATCGGTCTGACATCAAGTCCTGGATGAGAGTCAACTTTCTACAGCTGAATGTCAGCAAGACTGAGGCCATCATGATTGGCTCGCGCCAGCGTCTCCGCACCTCAGGCACTGGCAGCATTAGCATCCACTGTTGCACACTCCACCTCACCAAACCAGTCAGGAACCCGGGCGTTTTGTTCGACCCTCAACTGTCCTTTCTCCCCCATATCCGTGCCCGACTCCACCACTGCCTCACCCCTCAGGCCACCAAAACCCTCATACGCGCATTTGTCACCTCAAGGCTCGACTATGGAAACTCCTTACATCTATTCGAAAAGAGAAGATAGTTTTTCCCCATAATAAATTGATCAGCTGCTTCATGCCTGTCACATTTACCTTGTTTATTACACTTTACCAAAAACTTTGTGATTTGACTTTACATAACACTGAACCAAAACGTAAGAATTATTATCAATAAAAATAAAAGGCAAAAGACTGGCAGATGCTGGAAATTTGCAATAAAAAACAGAAGTCGCTGGGAACACTCAGCAGGTCAGGCAGCATCTATGGAGAGAGGAAAGTGAGTTAACGTTTCAGGTCAACGACCTTCTGTCAGAAGATCACTCTAAGTGCCGAGAATTATTATCCGAGACATTCGAGTATCAGTCTCCAAGTCTATTAGCTCCAAAGTTCTGACGTGGGACTGGAACCTACAAGTTTCTGACCCAGAGGCAAGAGCTAAACCAAGTTGGCACCTACTTTAAAATCACTGCTCACAGTCTAACCGTCCAATTGCCTTGAGTGTATTTGCTATAACCCTCTGTTTCTGCCACTGATTTTCCAGAGCAAGTCTTATTGCTCCATCCAATGGTTATGTGCAGAAACTGCAGACACAGCTGGATCAGTGAAATATGCATTCGAGAAACATTACCATATTTCTGGAATCTATAAACATTTTAGTCGATCAGGGCTCCGTTCCTCCCTTCATCACATGCTCCTGCCTAGCTCTGACAGAAGGAGTTCACATTCTTTCCTCATGTTCCTTGTGCTCTGGGGACAGAAGAAAAAAATGCTTGCAGCTTCTTGTGTCTAACTTTATGGGTAGGGCTGGGTAGCGGAGCTGATGTTCTGTTGAGAAAGATCCCTGTAGGAATGAAAGGGGCTCTGCAGGACTTTCCTTGAGGAGCAAGTCTGAGAATGTCTGTGGCTTGTTCTGATTGAGTTAGAAGTAAATTCCCTATAAAAGGCAGTTCCTTCCCTTTAAAAAAGTTGTCATTCATGTCCAATTTTATTTGAGGGATTGTTGGTCGGGAAACCGGGAAGACTCGACTGCCTTTCTTACCTATATCGGTTGCTCTGGCAGGCAATGGTCGTCTCCACTGTGTGACAAACTTGTAAGCGTCCAGCCTGATCTCAATGATATTATTCAGGAGAGCAAGAAGAGGAGCCAGTGGAAAAGCAGCAACAAATATAGTTGTGAAGCCAAACTGTAAAACTAGATGAGAGAGAGGGAGAGAGAGAGAGAGAGAAGCACGATTACTAGTGCGTAAGAGCAACATTACTTAATACATCGATTATTCCATCCAATATGTCAAAAATCCTACATGCAAATAGTTTACTTCACGAGCATTACTAACAGCGCCTTTTAACATTTTACCTCTTTTATCTGCATATTAATATACAGTCAATCCACTTTAATTCTGTGAAGCGGTTTCAGACATTTAGAAGACGTGATAAGGTACTCTATCAAATGCAAGGATGATTATTATTATATCCTCATTCAGCAGGGTAAACTAATTAAATACCGACACTGCGCACAAAATAGCATTCACGCTCTCCTCTATACTGAACCGTCTCCTGCCTTTACCCATTTCTAAGTATTCATCCATGAGGCCGTGGATATTCATGGGCTGCAGATTCCAATCCTTTTCCCACTGAGGTAGAAAGACTTTATTCTGCACGCTGTGTCCACTCTTCTTCAGCTTTCTTCGTGACCACCAATTTTGTAACAGCCTGGAGAGGTAGCACCGACATAGAGGTTATTACAACAGCTGAAATGTTAATGGTGACTATAGAAATTCACAGACCCACGTTGGGTAACGAAAGACGTTCCAAGCTCAGAATGTGACCACAAATGTGCATCCCCTATTATTCCTTATTTGATGACATGTAACCCTGCAGTAGCTTTGCATCTCACTATGCAAATATTTTGCAAATATGAAGAGATTCACGTTAAAAAAAAAAAGGAAACTTTTCAGGGTTTTTTGTTTTTCAGAATTTCCACAAAAGTTAGCAGATGATACAGGATTTATATCGAGGCATTTACTGCAAGGTTCTTCCTGTCCTGGCAAACAATAGGGTCACAAGCTGATACTCTCTCGTACTTGTTGCCACGGATCATTAATCTTTTTAGGTTTCTCTTTTCCGATATTCTATTCTTCAAGGTGAGTGAGGTTATTACTGATGAAAAGAACAGACTTCCACTCGGTCTCCAGTGCCAAGTCAAGAGATTTCAAAGGGTCTGGGACTGGGACTGTACAGCTCAGACCCAACACAGATCAGACCTTTAACGTAAGATAAACCTTTTTTTTTGGGGGGGAGGGGGAGGTGTGGTTGGCTGAAGGTCTAACACATCACGGTGCTTAAGCATATTCAAACCAGACAGGGTTCCACATATGTACACCACCTACATGTAGAAATTCCCTGCATTTGGAATGGAATGCACACTGTCCTTTTCTTTCTCTGGAAGAACCCACCCTGTATTATCTAATTGAGAAAGTATTAGGTGCAGCTTGCTAAGAGCTAAGGCTTGAGGGACTCCAGAGTGTGAGTCGGGGTACAGCTGGAATGAGAAGGATAAAGCCTTTAAACAAAGCGTTTGCCAGGTGTTCTGGTGAGTGCAAGAACCACAGAAAGTTACCCAGAGTTTGAGATTTTGGACCAAATAATTTGGTTTAAGGAAACGGACGAGAACGAAGCTTACGGGTAGCCGAGTTCCATAAAATTGTTCCACATTTGCTTGAGGACCATGATGATGCCCATCTGCATACAGAGGTCAATCAAACAGCCACTCGGGTGACACTGTATTAAATGACAAATCGCATGTTATGACGACTAAACATGGTGTTGCAATTCATGCACATTTTTGTTTAAAGCAGTTTCCAGTGAAAGCCTACAAGGTGATCATCACGCTACTCGCTTCATTCAAGCCTGAGCTATAGGTTTTATCAATTAAAAAAAAAGTCCTGGAATCTCAGTATAATTTTCTTTCCTTCCAAACTCTCTAAAACCTGCCCGAGCCTTAGGTTTGAGTAAATACATTCCAGGAAGAGGAAGAACTTTGATTTAAAATTTACCCAACTAAAATGGGAATTGTTGCGATTATTAATGTTACATTTTGCACCGTTAAGATCTAGCGCATTGAAAGGGGTATCAAAGGCAAGCATAGATTGGTATTCTCTTGATAGAATGCAGTAGCTGCGTTTTGGTAAGAAACCATTAGCACCAGGACATGCAATGAGATCAGAATTACCTCTTCGAGCCTCCATTTGTGGAACAGTTTTGTGTAGGCACCCGGTCGACCTGCAAACCTGAGCAGCACACAAGCGGATTGAGTTAAGACCCACAAAGTTGTGCGGGAGTTTAAAACTAAAAGTTAAGGTGAAAGGGATCACATTTTTTTTTAGATAAAAGAGACTTACTCACCTGCCAAGGAAGAAGGCAATGTAAAAAATAGAACTGTTGAGGTTTACAAACTGGAAGAGAAACATCTTCAGAGCAAAGCTGTTCTCCCATTCAGACTCAGTCCGTGGATGCTCTGTAATAAGAGATAATCTTGAGCTGAGTAATAAAAGACAGATACGTTTGTCTCCAACAATCATGTGTAAAGTGTCTGTGGTTTGCATGATCTCCTGGGATTTCTCTCTCTCTCTCTCTCTCTCTGAGGAGTCAATACTCTGTCTTGAGTGGAGACATCGGCCTTTGGACTTGTTGTGGATACTAGTTGTTGTGTTATCCTTAGGTTCACCAGCCACACCATTGAGCGGAGATACTGGAGTCTGTCATGGTGATCTTATATTATAATATACACACCCCGCCTCTCTACCGCTCCTGATCCCAACCACCAGCTTGGCTGTCCAGCACCTTGGGACATCCTCGTGACGTGGAAGGCGGTATACAGATATAATTTGTTGTTGATCACTAACAGCATTCCTCAATCAAAAAATCTGAGTTGGGGCACTTCTTCCAATGAACAATTAAGGAATCTTGGTTAGAAATTACTATGGATCAGAAACCACCAGCCACAGTGTCATGTTTCCCAATAAATCCACAACGTGGAAAGGTTTCAGAAATTCCCAACCGATGAACTCGTATCACAGAAAAGTGTGTGATTCTGTTACAAGAAGCCGACAAGTATAAGTCGGATGATTTGCTTCACTGATATACAGATCAGCACTATTAGCCCCATTTACTTACCCCAGTTTGTAAGCAGGTAAGCAACTTTCTCGTAAACCTTCAATGGTAGAAAAGAATAAGTGTCAGAAGGTAGCAGCTGAATCAAAAGCGATTTAACCAACAATGTACAGCTGATGTGTGAACATCAATTTCTCCCACAGAATATACAATCATTTCATTTTGCAATATACTCTGTGAAGCGCTTTGGGACGTCCTCCCGACGTGAAAAGCGCTATATCAAATGCAAGGATTATTATTATTATTATCAATCTCTCACTCCATTTGCTCAAACTTGTGGTGCAGTTTCTTTTTGTGAATTTCATGGTCTAATGCTGGATTCTTTCCACAAACTTACAACAGTGCAGCCTCCTTCTTAATAACTCTTCTCCAAAATTCTATTAAATTACCTGAGCCGCCACTCCACCCGCTGTGAAATTGTGCCTCAGCCCCAAGGCCTGGTAATAATTATCTGTAGTACTGTAGACCGATTCCCCCCCCCCCACATAGTGCTCTCTCTCCATCCCTCGCTCTCCCTGCAAGTGCATCAAATAGCTCTCTTATAGCAAGTCAGTTAGAAGATATACAAACCAGCCAACTGGAAAAATTTGCCAATGTTAAGGGTAACAGACCGTCTCAAGCCCAGAAGGGGGAAGGTTAATGGACGGTTTAGAATTGACTAATAATAATAAATAATAATAATAATCCTTGCATTTGATATAGCACTTTTCACGTCGGGAGGACGTCCCAAAGCGCTTCACAGAATATACTGTAAAGTGAATTGACTGTATATTTGTGGGCGAACGCGGCAGCCAATTGCGCACAGCAGCATCCCCCAAACAGTCGTAGATTGAAAATGACCAATTTATTATTGTTTTTGTTTTTTGGAGGGATTATTATTAGGCGTGTGGAGTAAGGAAACTTGCCCAAGGTTTCGCCCTGACCTGCCTGGAATTGAACTCAGGTCTCTCATTTGCAAAGCGAGTGCTCTAACCACTGAGCTACAGGACTCCACTAGGGCTTTGGATAAAATAAGTTTCCAATTGATACGAACTGCATGTAGGGTAAGGCAAGGTGAAGCTGGGCAAGGCAGTGACTTACCACATTCAGAGACATGATGATGATGAAGTTGAGACAGACTCCAGTTCCTGCGGTAGCAAACTGCAAATTTTTCTTTATAAACTCCCACTGGAAAGAAGCGAAGAACTCCATGGTTACGAGACGATACACCACCACACCAAAGACCGCCGACAGCACCAGCGAGATCTACAGGGAAGAGAGGAAGGAAAAACCGTGGCTGCACAAATCCCACACAGAAACAGTTTACAATGGGAACAATAGCAACTTTCCTTTCGCCCACAAAATACAGTCAATTTACTTTACAGTATAATCTGTGAAGCTCTTTGAGGCGTCTTGAAGACGTGATGAGGTGCTATATCAAATGCAAGCATTATTATTATTTATATAGCACCTTTCATGTAGGGAGGACATCCCAAGTCAATGAGGTGTTTGCACCCGAGCTGCGAGATGGCAAGCTCGAATGCAAACACTTCAACATCCCTCCTCTACCCCCCACCCCTCAGGGCAAATGGAGGGTCGGGGGTAGAGGAGGGAAGATGACCAAAGACAAGGTCGAAAGGAAGGTCTGAACCCATCAACAGCGCATGCTTTCCTTGCACTTCAGACGTAAATTTAAACAATTTAACAAACGCTAACTCTATCCCGCTATATAAAAACTTCTTTCTAAATTAGAAATGTACTGAATGTTGCGGAGCCAATTTGTGCCAGTTAAGTCCTGCAGGCAACAGTGAGCTAATTGTTCTGAGTTTGCAGTAAATTTGGATGAGAAGGGAATAGAAACCCAAACCAAAAAACTCTTACGTCCGTCTATCATGGGTGAAAGGTAAATCCCAACGACCATCAATCATTGTAAATCTGCTCTGGGTTCATTCTATTCATTCTGTCAGGGAGTTTGCCGTTGGTTTGGGCACTGCAGTGTTATGAATGTCCACAATGTGACAATTTCACTGTAAATTCACAGAAACTAACTCACAATCGATGACGAGGAAATAGTTCAACCAATACATGTCAACTGCAGTTAGCTTTTTTTTCCAGGATATAACTTGACAGAGCTAGTCCTTCTGAGCCATGCATGTGTGTACATTTAAGTCGCTTTCAATTTGTCAGGCCCAATTGAACTTACTGAAGTGTATTACTTCTCATCCATATCCTCGACTTGAAATAATGTATTGATAAGATAATTGCAAGAGTTGTGCACTTTGGCAGGGCCTGCTTGCAATTCTGGGGATATCCAAATTGCATTCCCTTTCTATCCTCCATCTCGAATAGAACGGGGTTCAAATTGTCTCGCTCGACCATTCACAATGAAGAGGAGCAGAATCCGAAGTACCAGAGACAATAATTCAGGATGAAGGGGAGCCTGCAAGAGTGTGCAACTGGGATCAAAATACCAGAGGCAACAAGGAAAGAGCTGTGTGACGCCCTGACTCACAAACACACTGACTCGAACACGTTGGCATTTCCAAAAGGCTGACTTGGAATTTTTCAATCAAGCCAGAGAAATTCTGTACTCTCTGGGACAGCTCCTTGCAGTCCACAATAACAATAATAATCCTTGCATTTGATATAGAGCCTTACCATGTCTTTGAGATGTTTCAAAGAGCTTCACAGAATATACTGTAAAGTGTAGTGACCGTATATTTTGTGGGCGAAACGCGGCAGCCAATTCGCACAGCAGTGTCCCACAAAGAGTCGGGATTGAGTACATAAAAGTACATTGAGTACACAAGCACATAAACTGCATTGATGGCTTTTGGGAGAGGCGTGAGCAGTAGAACGCTGACAGACACACAAACGGCCAATGTTTTCAAGAAGTCAGGGGAGAGGCTGTTAACTTGCTACTGCCTGGTTTCAGTGTCCTCTCGATGTAGCGACAGCCCCCTCTAGAGGCAACGGTGCCACCAGATTAGTGCTGCAATTGCTGAAGTTATCATTGCCAGCAATGCTGCTATTTTCTTCTAAAACAATATTTTAAATGCGATAATCCATAGGCGGGATTCAGCAAGAAGACATGAGCGAACTAAGCAAGTCAGAAAGTAAGTGAAGCTTGTCTCCCAAATAGGTCCAATAGTCTGTGCCATTCATTGCCTTGGTCCGTTGAACATTAATTACCCCCATACATCTCGCAGATAATGGCTTAAAAGCATTTGGGCATTTTTTTTAATGTATTGATATGTAGTTAGTCTGAAATGGCAAGATAATGAGAGTGCAGGGAATCTGTGCCCAGAAATAGCTGTAAGGAGTAGGTGGACACAAATTTTCAGTAAAAAAGACACAGAAAACGATTCAAGCATCCGTTCAGGGAGAAAGTAAGTAGCAGTAAGACCATACCAGACCTTACCATGAAGAATATTCCTGAGACAGACACAAGGAGCCTGCTGAGTTTATCGACAAATGGCTGGAATGGTTCAGGCTTTCCCGTGATGGGATTCACACGTTCCTTCTTGGAATATTTTGCTTCAAACTGAGGGCGAAGTTCCTCCTGTCAACAGACAATGTAAACCCACAATGTAAACCCACAATGTAATTTGGAAATTTTCACCTCAAACACCCAATCACCAGACACGTCACATTTGTGCACTGGTAATGCGCACCTTTCATTATCTGCTAGATAATAAGCCTTCCATTTGATATAGCACCTAATCACATCTTCGAGATGTCGCAAAGTGCTTCACAGAATACACTGTTAAAGTGTGTTGACTGTGTATTACTTGGGCAAAACATGACAGTCTGTTGTGCGCAGCAATGTCCCACAAACAGCCACGGGTGTGAGTCATCAATTTTATTTCGGGGATTGTTGGGCAGGACACTGGGAGAAACTCCTTTCTCTTTCCGAATAGTGGCATGGGATCTTTAATGTCCATCTGCATACGCAGCTGGGATCTCGTTTTAATGTCTTAGTAGATGAGATGGACTTCTTACCCACCCAGTAACAGCCTGATTTCTCAGGCTACCGGTGGGACTAATTTAGAAAGTTCACCACTATACCCATCACATCAGCTGTTTGAGGATTGAAGAGATTGGCTGGATTAGAAAAGTACTGCAGACACATTAAAACAAACCCAAAGTAGCTTGCGCTTCTTAATACAATACATAGACTGAATGACCTCTCCTCTGCTGGAACAGTCTATCGTGTCTGTCCTTTGCTTGTATTATAAAAAGTTTGTTATAAATAAAGGTTCCTTTCAATCACTAAATAATCCCTGCGGATGTGAACAGTCAAAGAAAAAAAACCCACAAGGAGCTTATTGGATTCAAGGTGCCTCATAATTTGGAGTACAAGGATGCCTTTCTGTGCAACACAATGTTCTCTCATTAAATTCTGCGAACTTAACCTCTTCCTCTTCCCAGTCAATCAGGTCCCAGTCATACGTTAAGACTGCTCGACGCCTCTTCCAGAACTCCAGAAACACAGTTGCTGTAGAGACACGAAACAAGCCTGCTTTAAAATCAAGACAAAATGACACGGAGAGAACATTTTATCCACAGTAGGAGCTGTGCTGGCACAGGGAACCCAGTTCACAGAGCACCTGTTCCTGTGGAGCTCTTGTACGACACACTGGCTTAAGCACATGGTAACCTGCAACTGCAATTTCTCAAAATTGTTTCTGATCTCAGTGGGTTGGATATGATGGAAGCGCCAAGAGAACATTAGAGAGTAATTCATGGTCACAATGGCACACAAACACACTCCTGCACTTCCCAATAACTGACTCTAGGGCACAATCAGCACAGCTCAAGAGTCAACTGCCCGCCTGCTCCCAACAACAACAACTTACACTTGTACAGTGCCCTTCATGTTGGGAAGACATCCCAGGGCGCTGGACAGTCAGGGGTTTTTGGACCCGAGCTGGGAGTTGGGGTCAGGAGGGGTGGGATTGGGAGGATGGCCGAAGGCACGGTCGAAGGGGAAGGTCTTTAGACGGGATTGTACAACCTCAACTCAGGTGTCCATCATGTGCTATCAAGCTCGTTGAGACATTCCACGTCAACTGTATTATAATGCCTTCTCTGTCTAGCAAAGCATAGTGTTCATGTTCAGAACGCATACATCAGGTGACTGAAGAGTAAAGCTTCAAATCACTTACGTAGAAATCAATTTCTCTAAAATCTGTGTTTTTGTTTGAATTCACTAGCTGTTTAATAATAATAATCCTTGCATTTGATATAGCGCTTTTCACATTTTTGAGGCGTCTCAAAGCGCTTCACAGAATATACTGTAAAATGAATTGAGTGTATATTTTGTGGATGAAAAGCAGCAGCCAATTGCGCACAGCAGTGTCCCACAAACAGTCGTGGATTGAGTGACCAGATTATTATTGGGTTTTTTTCTTGAAGGATTATTATCAGGCGTGTAGAGTAAAGGACTTTGCCCAAGGTATCGCCTGGCCAGGAATCAAACCCAGGTCTCTCGCTTGCAAGTGCTCTAACCACTGAGCTACAGGACTTCACTGCTACAGCTACAGGAGTCCTGTTTCCTGGAGTTCTGTAATGAATTCTATTAGAATTATTGTAATTTCAAAAAAAATATTGGATGAGCTGTCAGCTGAAAATGAAGTAACAGATCGACCAAATGGTAGTGTGATAATAATAACAATAATGTATGCTCACAGAAGGTGGGGGAGGCAGCACAGCTGATTTGGGCTCAGTCAAAGCAGGAACCAGAGAGATGGAAGCAATTCTGCACTAACCCCAATACAACGGGAACTTGAGATCTTGAATTTCAGAAGACTTTCAAATCTGCCTTTTTTTCATCAAAAAAAACTTCAAAATGAAATAAATCCGTTAAAAAAAGAATCTTTTAGATGTTTGACTTACACGAGCGATATTCTTGTTAATCACAAGAAGCCTTTAAGGGTTTTAAATAAGTCACATAAAATCTACTCGAACTTTTTGTTTTGTAAAAGAAAAAGCAAAGACTGGCATTCCTTTTTGAATTCAGACTAGCCTACTCTAAACAACAAGAATTTAATAAAGATTAAACCAATGCTAGGTAAGAGGGATTTAAAAATAACTCAATAAGTCGTCTTCATAAAAGGAGTTTTGCTCGAACAGCAAGATCAACATTGATACGAATTCCAATTGAACGGAAATCTACAGCTCTCCCTTCCACTCCCACTATCTTGACGTACAGATAAATAGTTTCCTCTACAAAGGCCAACCCAGATACATCATGGACGTAGGATTAAAATGCAACACACCCAAAATAGACACGACCTAATTCAGTCACATTATCTGAACAGAGGACTGGACTACAGCAACACACCATTCATAATAGTTCCAGCATCACAATAATACGGAGTTGGGGGGGTGGGGGGGGGGGTCAGGTAGGGAAGAAAGCACTTTCCTTTGATACATGTCACACACAGTGGCATTGTGTCACACTGACAACGAAAGTTTCTTAGGACTCTTACAATGCAGGTTTGCCAAGAGAGGGCAAGTTTGCCTCTGCTGACAACCCCGGGATGAAAAGTTACTGAATTATCCCAGATGCTTTTCGGAGTCCAATCTCCCGTTGAGGTTGCAGAGGGTTGAGTCAGTCTCCAGAAATGGAAAGGGTTTTGGGGTCAAAGGATAGACAGAGTTAGCGCAGTCAAAAGCCGTGAAAGGTCATTGTGGCAATTACACATTGTACAGTCAAAAAAGATGTTGTTAATTCTAACTCACGTGAAATGCTTCAGGCAACTGAACTCACCTTAGGGTGTGGTCAATGAGTCAGTGCAGTCAGTGTAAAGAAACACAATATGTAGTCAGGTCTGACGCCCATGATAAAAGAGAATATCATTTCCTTCAGAGATTGGAACAAAGATTATGGATCTTGGTATATTGTAATGAACACTGTGGAATGAGATGCTTTTGCTACGATCCAATCACAAGGTTCTGATGGTATCTTGAGACCACAGCTCAAAGGATTTATGAATAAGAAATCAATCTATTGAATTCAATTTCAATCTCTCCATTACTGCCCGTTATCTTACAGAAAGTACAACACCAACGATTTTAAACTGAGAATGAGAGCACGTACCACTATGGTTGTGCAGCTGTCGATGGATGAAAGTGACCAAGAGAAGATATGCAGATAAAGCAAGAGAGCTTTGAATGGCACAGGGAAGTAATCCCAGTGCAATCCATTGATATATACATGGGCACCATCTCACCACTCGAGCCTCCTCCACACGTGATGGGAGTGAGCCCCAAATATACACACCGTCTGCACCCTGTTTCCATGCTTTCTAATAGATTGCTGCGATTCGCTTCCAAACATATGCTTATATACACAGCACTAGATTGAGTGCAAGGGGTTTGGCAACTGGAGACAGAATGGATTTAGGGAAATGCAACGATATTGGCTCTGGCTAGATTTGGTGATGTAGGGAATAATGGCTAGCAGTGGGTTAACTGCAGAGTACAGGATCAACAGTAAGGACCAAATTAATAAAACATTAGAATATTCAAACAATAAGTGTGGAACGCAAGAGTATTCTAAATGGATTTTTTTTAAAAAAATCACATAAGTCTTATGATCAAGTGCTCCAGGATGCTACACTGCGTGTAGGGCCCTATATAAATGCAAGTTGTTGTTGTTGATCTTTATTTGAACTGACAGCCTTAGATTAAACACTGGGGAGTAAACAATTTGAGGCATTATTGCCTTATGTGAAGGGCCGCTAATTAAATGCAAGCTGTTGTTATTGTTGAGTAGCAGAGGTTATAATGTAATGAATGAGACACCTTACTTGATGAATACTGTTCAATTCTGAAGGAAATACAGAAAAGCTTTACCGCTCTTAACTAAACATCTCACCGTTTTATTTAGCTGGCAATTGTCTATTATATCTCAAGCAACAAAGATTCCATTTAACAAATTATTTCAAAATAACTTCCATGGTTAACAGATGGTGTGAATTCAGTGAGCTGCTTCAGAAACCATTTTGTCACAAGTGCTTTACAGGAAACCGAAACTTAGCTAAATTCCTGCAGGATTGCTTGGGTTGCATAATGCACTTTTTTTTTAAGTAACCAGGGCTGGCCCACAAAATAGTGTTCTTGCTTTTCACGTTAGAAATGGAGAATGTCGAAAAGTCTTATCAATGTTAAGACGTCCTGGTCTTCTAGCTAATGATGTATTTCGACCAGACCGGCAAAGATTTTAAATGAACAACAGATTGCATGTCAGATTCTTTTGTGTGAGAAAGTCTTGCACAATAAGAGCACATGATACCCGCCCATCTACCCTCTTTTTAACATGCACATATTTTACAGCCTCTGCTTTGTAAGCCAATACCTTAAAATACATGAATAGGGCAACAGCTAAATCAGGTCAATCCAGTTCTGACACACATTGTAAGGCTTCAAGAGGCTGAACTTGCTTTTCTACTTTATGCACTGAATCCAGTCCCCTGCCACATCACACTGCTCACCTGAGCTACACGGTGCACTGCCTCTCTGACGAACGAGTAGTTTTCGCCAACCTTAAAACCACACATCCAACTCATCAAACACATCAAGGTAAGTGCTTTCTGAATCAATGTTTCTGAGTTATATTGATGGTCAACTTGATAGCGCAGTCTCACGTTTGTTAAGCGAGATGCTGTTTGCTTCTTTTCCCTGACACCTGTTCAGTAATCGTCTCCAGTACTGAATGTAGCTGCTATGTGCGATTCAAGCATAATTAACTGGAGCGCAAATAGTAGAAGACGGCACCTTCAGATTGTTATGAAAACTGCTCCTAATGCAGCAGCCACACAATGCCCATTCACTGATTTTTCTTTTCCTGAAATCCGTCAATGCCAGCAACAGAGAGCAAGCCAGAGATCATAGTCTCTCTCTCTCCCCCACCCCCCTCTCTCTCTCTTTTTCTTCTGAAGATTCTGGCAAGATAGGTGAAGCAGCAAAGGCCTGGTAGTAGGTTGCCAATATTGCTGCTGGAGTCAATGGTTACTGCGAGAAGTTCTGCAAAAACAGGCCAAGTTGACTCTCGTTGCGTTTCCACTGAAATGTTTCTATACACAAAAAAAAGCTCCCTAGTGACTCAGTGGGCAATGGCTTGGCTCCATGCGACACAAAACCATTTAGATGCCCTTCACGGCTGAAATAATCTGCTGGGGCTCCTTGATCAGTCTGTTATGTAAAGAATGCAAAATATTCCTCACAGGTTAAATATTGGTCCTAAGGTGAGCTCAGGGAGGACAGAAACCTCCCGTGGAGCAGAGCGGCAAAAGTTCACTTGATCTTGATCGGCAGGTTAAGTACTGGAGGGCTAATTGTGCAAAGAGGGATGTACCCCAGCACAAGTTGATCTTTCCAGGAGAGAGGGGAACATTTTGGGGCGAGGGAGAAAGGGAAAGAAGAAGTTGAAAGTGTGCATGACTGGAACAAGCTGCCTGATCAAGGTTTTGCCCTGCCGGGAATTGAACTCAGGTCTCTCACTTGCAAAGCTTCTTAAAGGGCTGGATAAAGTAGACACTGAGTAGCAGAATCTATAACCAGGGGTCACAGTCTTAAAATTAAGGGTCAGCCTTTTAGAACAGAATTGAGGAAACATTTCTTCACTCAGAGGGTAGTGAGTTTATGGAATTCACTACCCCAGAAGGCTGTAGATGCTCAGTCCTTGAACATTTTCAAGGATGAGACTGGTACCTTTGAAAAATAGAGGGATTAGGGGATATGGGGATAGGGCAGGTAATTAGAGTTAGGTCAGAAGATCAGCCGTGACCTTATCGAATGGCGGGGCAGGCTCGAGGGGCCGAATGGCCTACTCCTGCTCCTAATTCTTATGCTCTTATGAAACTCTGACTTACTCTGAATGGCACGTAAAAGGCAACTCTTGTGAAATAGAAATGCCAAAAGGAGAGTATTTTTTTCTCAGTGGAGTGGGCTGATGACCTGGAACCACACCCATTGCTTGTTGCAATGGGGACAAGATCTCTATTGAGTGTTGCAATCAACAAGCAGTTTGAGTTATAACTATTACTGCATACTCTGACGTCATCAGAAATATGGGTGTGTTTTGTTAGGGGGGGAAAAAAAGCATAGCTTTGTATTTATGCCCCAACAGTTTATGTTGGGTTTAAGTTTGCATTTATGTGGCAACATTTCCTGAAAAATAGCGCAGAACAATCTGGATTAAGTGCCAATTTTGGCAGAAATTTTAAACCCCTATCCTACACTACAGTGCAGAACACCAAAATCGCACAACAGGCATTATTTTATTTCTGAACTAACATTTGATATAGCTCTTTTCACAATGGGAGGATATCTCAAAGCGCTTCACAGGATACATTGGAGTCCTGTAGCTCAGTGGTTAGAGCACTCGCTTTGCAAGCGAGGGACCTGAGTTCAATTCCAGGCAGGACGAAACCTTGGGCAAGTTTCCTTACTCCACACACCTAGTAATAATCCCTCCAAAACAAAACAATAATAAATTGGTCATTTTCAATCCACGACTGTTTGTGGGACGTTGCTGTGCACAATTGGCTGCCACGTTTGCCCACAAATATACAGTCAATTCACTTTACAGTATATTCTGTGAAACGCTTTGGGACGTCTAGAAGACGTGAAAAGCGCAATATCAAATGCAAGGATTGTTATTATTATTATTACATTGTAAAGTGCAGCGACTGTGTATTTGGAGGACGAACGCTGCAGCCAGTTTGCGCACAGCAATGTCCCGCACGTAGCCTCTAACCTACACAATGCAGGGAGGAAGGAACAAATCAGCCACTTCTCTCCCCAGCCCCGATACTGGAAGGAACACGGATTCACCTCCTGTAGGAGAAACAAGCGATTGAAAGTGCAGTACAAAAGCACAACTCAAGAAACATAACCCGTGTGCACAAAGCAACCTATTTAGTCACAAGCCCAATAGTTTTGTCATTCAAAGTTCCTCTTTTAATGTTAACAATCCTAATTTATATTAAGGGAGTTAAAGTCTAGCCACTATCTGTGGACACTTTAGTGTTAAGCAACCAGTGATACTGGAGTCACTTTCATAGTAGATTAAAATGTCCTTTATATTAATTATATTCTTTATCAAATACTATGGCACACACTGAAGCACAGAACAGGGAGACGATTTTCTTTGAATCCAACAACTGAAGTGATTGTGGCCGTATCTTTCAAAGGTTTTGAAAAGTGCTTGTTCACGAACAAACGATAGTCTCTCAATGTATCACCTTAAAGAAAAAGTGGGTGAGGCAACACTTAGGTGAAGCCAGTCATTCAATCGAGTTTATTTTCTGACCTTATAATGGAATTCTAACAAGGATTCTATCAACAGAGGGCGAGTCATTCGGGTAGTTTTCAAAAGTTGAGTTTATCCCTTGAATAGGTGGACGATCATTTATAACAGACAGTTCACACAAAGTTGGTGCAGATACAAAGAGCAAAGCAATGACATACTGAATTAAATGAAGCCAAATAATGACTGAATCTGATCTGGTAATTTAATACTGATCAGGGTAGGTCACTCCTGCTGTTTCGACAATGACCCAACTGTGCATTGTCTGTGAGTTATTCTGACACAAAATGACAAAATTGGTCATAAGTAAAGCAATCTTTTGACTGACAGTACTTTTCAAACCTTTTCTTCCCCACTGTTAATCTAATTCCCCTCTTATTTATCTCTGTTCACCTCTATCTGGCAAAGTAATAAACCATTCAATTAAATAACAGCATGCTGAAGACATGGTTTAGTTTAGTATTGCATATGACTTGCTATGTTTACTTAGCCTAATGTGTATCATGCTACAATTATTTTATTTTAAAAAGGAATATTGAGGTGTGCTTTTTAGTTGTACTTAATGAGTAATCTTTTGCAGGATTGTAGCCTGAAGAAACAAAACAATGGCATCCTTTCGGATAGCTTTAATAGCCACATTTCTGATGTCCTACATGTGGGTTGTTGCTGAAACCCAAATTGCATCAACTTCATCAGATTTCAGCTTAACACCACTTCTACTTAGTAGTGCTGATGGCTCGACAACTGATGCAACTGAAGCTCCTGGGACAGAGAACACGAGTGATGGCTCTTCACTTATTACTGAAACAACTTGGACCGACACTCTTCCCACTGACAGCATGAACAGCTCACCTGCACCAACGCCCCTGTTATCCCAAACAATAAGTGACTCGAATGTGGCAGATATAGACAGCACCTCCCCATTGCCTACATCAGCAAACAATGGCAGCTTTATCACTGTAACATTTGGTGATAACAGCACCATTACAGTGACCACAATCTGGGCTGATTCCAACAGCACGGGATACAACGCAACAAATCAGACCAGTCCTGGACCAATATTAAGCACCATTTCGGCTATTCCTACTAGGAACACCACTAACGGAACTTCAACCATGCAGCCCAACACAACAGAGAATAATATCAGCACTTCAGTAAGTCCAACAGCTGTGTTCACCACCAGTAGTTCCTACAACGGTACAACTATTAACACCACGTCTTTGAATGAAAAAGGTAAGGTTCTTGAAAGAAATGTCATAAGACACCGACAGTTTATTACGTGCACGTTAATTACAAATTAAGATACAGATTAAACTAATTTCACCTTGATAAACTAAAGAATTAAAAATATCATTAATTCCAGACTACGTGTCCTTTCAAGATATTTTGAATTATTATAAGTATTTTTCTTGTCATTTCTCTGTGCTTTTGTCAGTGGGGCTATTCTGAATCACACTCTAGTGCCCACACTGGTTTTTAATGGTCACTTCATTTTCGAAACGTTTCAGGTCCACATCAGGTCAACAACAAAACAAATGGAGGCGTTATGTTTGGCATCATCCTCGGCTCCACTTTGGCAATTCTCTCAGCCATGCTCCTGGTTTACGTCTTGTGCAAACGCAAGAAGTCAGACCACTTTAGTCATCGTAGAATGTACGATAACCTTCCTAGCGATCCAGGTAAGGAATTAATGAAAGCCCCACTCTCCATACTACACTAATCTTTGAAGTACAGTAGCTCTAATTCCTTACTGAATACTTGGCAGAAAACAAATCCAATTCACAAAAGACCAAATACATCCCGCTGATAATGTGCAGCAGATCAGGCGGGGGATATATGAAGCAGGCCAAGGTTTGCTGAAATATTTCACGGACTGCTGTACATTTTAATGAGTTTCCAAAGGCGGACTATTCTGCTCGCAAAGTACATTGATCTCTGGAGTCATTCTTCAAAGTAATTTCTGCTCAGTGACCTTTACAGTAAAAGCCTCAATCTCTCTTTATTTTTTAATTAACACTTATACCGAGAGATGCAACAAATAAATGAATTCCGAAGAACGTTTAACAAACTTGTACACCTTAGACTGGAACAGAATTGATGCTGCAATTCTGCCGCTAACCATGTACCCAATTAAAAATATTTGACCTTAAATTCCCCGGAATTTAAAATAGAAAATCCTATAGTTTTGCTGCTGTCCCCTAGGGTTGGCATTATGTGTCAAAGCAGATAAAACCCCAGTTTCTCCACACAACAACAACTTATATTTGTACAGCGGCTTTCACCTTTGAGCTGAAGTCTGAACCTGTTCCTAAATCATGGATCAGAATAAATAGACCTGCTATCGAGTCTTTGACTGCACTTCTGGAGGCAGTGAGATGGCATGAACTGGAAATCCACCATCAATGGTCTCTTTAATTTACAGTACAATAAAATTAGCCTATATAATAGTACACATTTCTTGAAGTACAGTAAAAATCCTGGTTTACTGAAATCTAGGTATCTAGAGTTCGTGCCGGATTGGGCCCATAATCTAAAAAATAAAATTCCACAGGCCCACATGTAGACTCCTAACAGCCCACTCTCTTAGTGACTTACACTGCTACTCCATCTCCAATATAATTGACTCCAGTTTGAATCCTGTGAGCAGAGATAGCTTATTTGCAGTGCCATTTATCGGCACTGAAAAGAGCCAGTAACTGCTGGTACTAGCATTGTAATTACACTTAGCCGGATTTTCTCACTCGCCAGATTGGATTCCTTCCCTCATTAGTCCAGCGAGCTGGGGTTTTAGTGTATAAATGTTCAACACAACAATGCTTTGAACATTTGAGTCCAGGTGTTAATGGCCTTGTGTAACATTGATTCCATGAACATTAACTTTTGTTATATTTCCCTAAAATGAGATCAACAGTATTACACTAAAATCAGTCATGGGAATTAAGAATTTATGTCCTTCCATTATACAGCTAATCATGAAATCAATATTCTGCAACTATATAAGTGGGAACTCCAGTCATTGCATGAATGTTTTAACAGATTCAAAGACAGAACTGACTGGGTAGAAATAGCTCTGTGTTTTATGGTTCCTGGGAAAGTCCCACAAAAAGTGCAAGGACTAAATTAATTTGCGATTCAACAAGGCTCAATCGTGGCATCATCTATTTAGTGTCTGATTTAAACCTGGACTGTGAAAGCATGGATGGTGTTATGTTTGATTATATCCCTACCTATTGCAGTTCTCAGACTCATAACTCTTTTGCATCAATAATATAAGGTTCATTTCACTTACAAATTTTAGCGAGAATAGAAAATCGTAAAGCATCACAGCCATTTTCTGCATTTAAAAATTTCAGTAAACCACATGTTCAACTTTTATCCCCCTTTACCCCAGTTCTCCGCTTGGATAATACAACTGATACCATTGATTTACGCTACCAAGGGGGAGCTGCGTACTACAATCCTGCCGTCATGAACGAAGTATCACCTCATCATCCAGGACAGCTGGAGAATGTGAATGATGTGATTCAGATGGATTACATAACACCTTCGCATGGAGAAGTCGCATGAAGCAATCTCACAAACAGCATGTGATGTACCAGTTTGCTTATTGCAAGCAAATGAAGAAAACTGTACTGCGTTAGTGCCAGGAGCCAAAATTAGCAGTAACATAAACCAAAAGTCCAAAATCCTTAAAGATATCAAATAAGACTCCAAGCCCGACATCAGGAGCCTAAATGTTGGGGCTGTGCAAACAGTGACTGTGTGGAATCAACTTACCCCAGATCGCCATGAAGATGGCAAAGAAGACAGTACCTCCATTGTCAAACAAATGCGTCATCTAAAAGAAGCACAGAGAAGGACATGCTGATTACTGCATCATGAATAGGCTGTAAAATTTAAGACATAACCGCAGAACATTTTGTTTACATTATTCTTTACCAAAAGCTTTGGAGTAAAATTCGCAGTGTTTGAGCCTTTGATTGTGTTAATTAACTCAATCAATGGGTTAAGAAGCACCCTAAATTTCCCCTCTTACTTTCTAAGCTTAATATAACATTGTTATGTGTCATTAAGTTAAAGCTTTGTAAGTTCCAATTGAATTATATTGCACTTAAATGATACACTTGCATACAAGGGCAGGGAAATTAGGGTTTTGTTATTAAATTTAAATGTGGTAGAATACCGATCCTTTGCAATCAATGCTCATTTATCGTTACCACTGATAGATAATAAGCTTGCTTGTTTAGTTAACGACTAACCCACAAATTTCAATTTCACCCACGAGATGGTTGCTTTAAAAAAAGCTAGGACACAGGTCCTGCAAATAAATAACTACTGGGCATGATGTACCACTCATCATGAACTATGCATAACGTCACCTGATGGATTGCCTTTCTTGATAGGTTGGCTTCTGAAAGAAAAAGTCTCTTTAAAGAACACACTTTGGGGAGTCACTGACTAATTTTAGGCTATTGCATAAATAAATGTTTGCATTCCATCACAGATATACCCTTCAATATTTTTCACACTTCAGTACTTTATTGATAATCAAGAGCTACGTTCTATACTCTAGCAGGCTGCAATAATGTGTCAGTTCATCTGGAGTTAAACTCAAGGTATCACATTAAGGTTATATATCATTACATATAGAACATACATCTTTTTAAAGTTGTCTTTTTAAGTCGTATTTAGAACTAGAGTTCATGAGCACTAACCGCATGAGCAAAACTCTAAATTGTCCATTACTTAACAATTCTGCTTTCAATGCAATGAGGAGCAATTCATAATTGAGGCTTCTTGCTCCATGTCCCTCTATGCACAAATCTCTTGAAACTGGTTCCTCAATTTCCTACAGCACAACACAGGGACATTGAAACAGGAGATGGCAATGATCATTAGTTCCCCTTGGAATGAGGTTCCAACAAGATCCAACTGTTCTGTTCCTCACCAAGCACTCAATTCCTCCCAGTTTACATCTCCAATGTAGGTATCAAGAACAGAGCCAAAGGTTTAATGTATGAAAACACGCTGTTCAGGCAAAATCATCAAATGCTGGCTCAGAGAATATGGTAATATGTAACTCTTTGCACCACTTCAGTTGGCACTAACAGTGGTACTGCTATCAGCACCCAATGCAAGCATCAGTAAACATTTGGCCCCACACTCATCTCCAGCATATTCACATTTTCCCACAGTAGCTGTTGGATATTCAGTGAAAACAAATCATTTATAAAGATCTGAAAAATGAAGTATTTTATTGTAGTTTATCTTTGGTGTCAGTCTCGCCAGTCGTGTGCCTCACCTCTGCCACCCGGACAGCAGACAGTTGTCTGCTTCCAGATAACCACCTGCAGAGATCAACGGCGACACCAGGGGACAGTGCAGACTTCACAACACCACACAGCAGAGCTCCAACAAGCACTGCTCTGAAGGTTATATTCTCAGAACGAAACCAGGTCATGAATGCTCATCTAACAAGTCTCTGCACCTTCACCCAGCAATCAACTGAATAATTGTACACCAGACAATGTTACATAACAGATGGCATGTCCTGGATAGCACCTGGCAACCTACATCGTGGCTTCAACAAGAAGCGTCTGTGCTGTCAGATCAGCTTAAAATCAGCTCCCCCGCTCCACTTTCATCTCTGCATCCTCAAAGACACAAACTTCACAATCAGCATGCGTATGTCTATCAGTGCAATACTGAGTTGAATTTAAAAAATGGGAAAAAAATGTTAACACTATAATGAAGGCAGGGTTTGAATATTTGGCAGGTCATGGAGAACTAGTTCTGCTATCTTCTTACCTTAACATAACTAATTTCCTCAAATGGCTCAGTGTTTGACATTGGAAGTTACAGCAGGTCCACACATGCAAACAGCTAGAACTTCCTTATAATGTATTAATTCATTTCAATTGCCTCTCCCCCCAACCCCACTCCCAATATTAACTTGTTTTGTTTGGATTAAGTGCCGTTTGCTCTTAGGATGCTGCACTATTCTGAAGCAGAAGTTACAGAAGAGTTTGGGATTTAGTACCCAGTGGTCTATCTTCACATTGGCAAGATTTTGAATAACAGTGTCATAAGTGCACTACAGAAAGAGAGAGAGAGACACAAAAACAATTAATTTTTTTCAAGGCTCATCAACTGAACCAGTGTTCCATGCTATGGTGGACAATTGTGATTTACACATTGGGATTCAATAATATATCTATCCAACATAGCCACGTGAATAAGACACTTTCCCTTCGGCGTGCCACATTTTGTCGAGGCCCAGAGTAAGGCAGCGAGTGATTATGGTGAGGGAGAGAGAGATTTAAGAAAAGCAATAAAACCTACAACAATTTCAAAAATGTGCACAAAACACTAGCCAGGACTTCCACTCCCAAGGGCTATCCTGGATTACACGTGTGGTTATCAAGTAAAACCAGGATTCGGCTAGGTTATGATACTGACCATGGTTAAAAGGGCGCACAGACACACACAGTTGGGTGCGTACTGGAGAAGCTCCCAGCACCTATAACATTTACTTAATTGAAACACTCATTTTGGAAGAGAGACACACAAAAAAATATATATTCAAAATAAAAAGCAAAATTGTTTCACTATAACACTTTTTTTTTTAAAAAATGTTAAACTAGTGACCGTCAGATAAATAATATTGATCTTTACATTTGATATAGCGCTTTATCACGTCTTCGAGACGTCTCAAAACTCTTCGCAGAATATACTGTAAAGTGAACTGACTGTATATTTTGTGGGAGACATAAGCTTCGAGTTATGATCCACCACTTTCACTTTGATGGTTTTGATCCTCATTAAATTCTAAATTCCATTATTTAGAGAAATTGTGAAGTCATGAATCCTAGCCTCAGCAGCAGGTGGCGTACAGACATAATGTGTAGATTCTGGGGAATGTATTCCACCCTGTAGCTCCTGGCCACTGTACTGACAGAACAGATGAACTCCTCGTCTGCCTGAAACATGAATTTGGACCAAATCAGAGATACAAATAAGAGGGGACATTCTGTTAGGAACACTTCCTGGCACTATTCCGACTCACACTAATCCAGGACAACATGCTCCGAAAGGACTTTAATCTGGAGACATAAATGAGATGTTCGATTCCAAGGTAGGAGACCCACAGTTTCTGCAAGTAAACTAACAATCACCTCACCACAACAGTCTACATCAAGTCTTTTTTTGAAAAAAATATTAAACTGCCTGATACTGCAACTTCAAAGTGTTCCACAGTTTCCACCAACTCCTTTAACAATATGATAATTCAATACAATGGGACAACATAATCTAAATAATTTAAACTATTCTGGACATTCACCTGGATTTGAGTTAAACACAGTTTAATGCTTCAAATTAAACCAGGGCTTTCAGTAACAGTCATTATTTGACTTGTCATGAAACTGAATAAACCAGCAGGCTAAACAATGTAAAAACATATTGCAGGAATTATTATCAATGAACTTAAAATTATCAAATGCTATATATATCTAAAGTCAGATAACTTGAGCGTTTACTCCCAACCCACATTGCAGTGAGAGGGGAAAAGATGCACAATCTGAACAGACAGTCTTTTTTTCCCAACTGTATTACGTCTGCCTGAAAAAAAATCACCAACTACCTGCACTATATCTCAGGGATTGTCAGAGAGCCAAAGAGAACCATGTTCAGAGTCATCCGCACATCACATTACTGTTGGGGGGATAATGCGGGCATGGATTAGCTGTCACTTTGTCTGCATAACAATAGCCACTACGTTGCCAGTTCAAGTGCAAGTGCACTTCATTCATTGTGTGCTAGCAGACATTGATGGGATAAAGTTCCTAAATTAAATACAAGTGGCATAGTATCCAATGTCCAGCTGAGCGATAGAGCAGGAAAATACCAGCTTTGATCTTTGGCAAAGCCTGTTAGCTACTGTTGGCTGAGGTAAAAGCAAAGATGCTACATTTGGTCTCAGTAACCTGGTTAGTGAAGTGGGGGCTTCAGAACACAAACATGCAAGTGGGAGGTGAGAACAGTACCAACTGAACCAGGATGGTATTCTAAACTAGTCAAAGACTGAGTCATCCAGATGAGATCTAAAAAATGTGGTCAAAGATAAAAGCTCCCACTATTTTTAAAATCAATACAAATTTCCTTTATTTCCTGTTTAGTATTTCCTTAATTTCCTGTTTAGTTCAGCCACTATCGAGTTCCCGCAATGCTTCACAATTATAATGATTAAATACCAACCATTGTACTCTCTGTTCAGTGCAAAAGAATCAACGTCTTGCATCAGGCACAGTCAGCACTAATGATTAGCTGAGCGCTCAACAAAGGTGGCAGTCTCATCCAAATCAACCAATTAACCATTGACTGTAGTCCAGTTCCTGAGCCAGGTGGGTCTACAGTACTCCACGGCACTGCTGATGACAGCAGCGTCAGCCTGGCTCATCGGCAGGACTTGGAAAAACTGACCAGTCACTGGGGGCAAAGACTCTTCACACCCATTAACCCTGCAAGCCAAAGCCCTAACGGGGTAGGGTGGTCCGAGCTGGACAAGCAGCAGGAAAGATTGCCAGACACTGCTCTCAATGGTAAGATATGCAGTTTCATAGATTCCAGCAGGACCCCAACGTTCACTCTGGGGTCCCCAGCCCCAGCTGTATCCAATACTTTCCAGAATCGGGTAAGCAGGATGCATCCCTCCAGGGAGAGAGCGCGCCTTCCATTCCAACAAATATCTCTGGAATGTTCATGTAGAGATGGGATGGTTTGGTTTGGATATTCTCAAGTGGTGATGGGTTTCCGCATACGTCAAACACCCAGCTGGCCAAAAATAAAATCCATTGATTTGTTTCTTGAGAGCACTAAAACCATACGGAAATCCAAAAAAGGTTTAGAGCGAGGAAGAAAACCATTCGACCCATCATACTCAGACTGGTGTTAGGTTTCCCCACTGGGAATCACTTACTCTAATCCCATTTCCTCCTTCGCTCTCCATACACTTTAATATTTTGCTTCCGGTGTTAATAAAATTACATTTTAACTGTCGTGCATTTGGCATCCATCGCCACCTGCGATCAGATTCTAATATTCAAGAAATAAGATGTTAGAACAAGGGATGTTATCCATATTACTATAGGGATGATGGACCTGTACTGTAATGCTCTGCTGGCATTTTTAAGAAAAAAATAAGACGTCACTCACTCAACAACATTAAGATTGAACGGACCTGATAAACTGTGAGTTTATTTGCTATTATCTCCCCTCTCTGCACAACAGTGTAAATGCCTATTAATCCCGTATATTTTGTAACCTTTTAAACACAACAGTATATGTGTCCATGAAAATAAAATTCACGAGTTAGGGAACATCCAAAATTGATGAGAATCTAAGCATTTATCATTTTTTTTCCCCCCACAAATACTTTTGCTGACGAGCTTCCAATTACTTCAAGAGCAACTTAACTATTCAACGATAAATAAAATTGTTGTTTATGTACATTACTTTACATGCACACACACTCGCACCATAATCCGTAACTTGTCACATTCCGAGCACTCAATAACTAGATCAGAAGACTGTAATCCAGCAGGTGATTACACATCTTTCAATTGAAACTGTGAAAGGACCCATTACCATATTTTAAAATGCTTTGGGCAATTTATGTGACAAATTCTTGTAAAATTGGAGGTTGCTGGTTCAAGCCCCACATCAGGACTTCGAGAATTAGTGACACACAGTGGGTCATTCCAGCACGTCCCACCACATGCTACTTTTGATCCAGATGCTATGTTGCATGGATAGCCTGAAGGTCAGTGAATTGTACACAGCATGAGGCAGTCTAGAGATGGGGGAAGGATAATCTAATCAATACAAAATGTTATCAGCACAATTCAATTTGGTCTATTATTGCTATTTATTTACGATGGGTTGAAAAAGGGTTTGATCTTAGCACACATTACATAAACAGAATTGTTAGAGGAAAATACATATCAGGGGATGAAAATGCAATGTTTCGTAACAGATTCAATACAATAATTATCACTTCAAATCCACCACAAAGCATTGTATTATTAACCTAGTTAATGTTATTTGTTTGGTTTTTATTTTGAGAAACAATTTTTACGCTTTGAATTGAACTTCAACTCACCAAGCCAGTCAGGAACCTAGATGTCTTGTTCGATACACAACTGCCTTTTCCTCCCGATATTCAAGCCATGAACCGCTCTGCCTTCCGTCACCTCCGTAACATCGCCCGACTCCGCCACTACCTCACCCCTCAGGCGCTGAAACTCTTGTTCTTGCCTTCATCACCTCCAGGCTCGACTATGCAAACGCCCTGCTTGTCAGCCTTCCCAACTCCTCCCTCCACAGGCTGCAGATAATCCAGAACTCTACAGCCCGTGTCCTCTCCCGCACCAAATTCCGTGACCCCATCTCCCCCATTCTCGCCCGACTCCACTGACTTCCTATCCTTCAGAGGATCCAGTTCAAGATCCTGGTCCTCACCTACAAAACCCTCCATAGCCTCTCCCCACCCTACCTCTGTGACCTCCTAAGACCCTATCAACCCACCCGCCCGCTCCCTCCGCTCAGCCGGCTCTGGCCTGCTCCACGTCCCCCGACCCACTCTGCCCCCAACCTCTGGAATTCTATCCCCCAATCACTCTTCCTCGCCCCCTCCTTAACCTCCCTCAAGTCCGCCTCAAAATCTTTCTCTTTGACCATGCCATTGGTCACCACCCCCCCCTTCCCCTCCCTTCTCCCCACTCCCCCCACGACCCCAGCTCGGGTCTGAAATGCTATACACTGTCCAGCGCCTCGGGACGTCCTCCCGACGTGAAAGGTGCCATACAAATGTAATCTTATTGTTGTTGTTTGGTATACAAGGAGCTGAAAATAGCTTGACTTTTATTAATCCTGCACATTTCTGCCATATTTAATTAGGAAAGAACATGCTGAAAGCTATGTTGTGTAACAGAAACCTGTTACCTTAGCATAGACGCAGCTGTCACTCAGCATCCAGTTTGTACAGTTACCTTCACACATTGGGCACATGACGGTGTCATTGGCTTCACAGATCTCCCTGCTACAAAAGTGTAAAACAATGTACCGTGAGAGATTGCTTGCAGACTCAATTTCTCCTCAAAACATCTGCAATATTGACAATACCAGCTATGAATTTGCTTTACAAATGGTTATGTTACCCATGCTCGTGGTCACAAAAGGTTCGATAATTTAACTGCAAAACTTTAAGACAAAAAAATGAAAATTTACATATTGAAGGGTAAACCAACAACAACAAGCATTTATTTTCGTTTAAAAATAGTGATTTGTTTTATTTAAAAGAGTTTAACTTTTAATTTAAGGTGACCAAAATGTCCTGATATCTTCCCCATTATCTAAAAAAAATGTATTTAAGGCTTATTAGACATTGTAATGGTATCATGACTTTTGGTCATCCTACAGAATCATTATAAAGACCCTAAATTCTTCATTTAAAATTATCGGCTATTTTAAATGCAACATTTTCCTACCTCACTTGGCTGGACTCCGTGGTAAATAATCCATAAAGAAACACAAATAATCCAACTAATGCAGCAGGAATGAGCATCCCGGTATACCAGCCCAGCCATGCAAAATACAGGCCAATCTTTTCACCAAAGTATCGTCTGCATAGAACAGAAAAGGAACAGTATCTGTTGAGCATTCAATTAAGACCTCATCTGTGAAGGAACAAAAATTAGTGGAATTACAACACCTCGTCATAAAAATGGGAGGTAAATTTATTAACAGAGACCATGTTACACTCACGTGAGAGGAATATCATAAAGGTGGTCAGCAATTCAGATATTCATAATAATAGTAATAATAATAGTACACGGTGATATTAATAGTAAATACAAAGTTTCATCTGTTTAAATACATTAAAATAAAAAATACTACATATTGTCTATCAATTCAATTCATTCAAACTTTTAATTACAGTACAATTGTGTCAGTGCAGTAATACTTCAGTGTGAAAGTATTCCCATTTCTATATGCTGTTCCTATCTCGACTTTATGTTCTTTCCTACACCTTTTCACTGAAGCAATGAATCCCATTTAATCCTTGCTCGGGTTATTAATCTTCATGGTGATTTTTTAGTGCATTGTATAATGGCACTGAAATGTGTGCCATTGTCATATCTGAGCTGTGCAGGAAGCACCTTTTTTTTTTAAATCATGCAAAAATATATAAATATATAAAGTGTCTTTGTCAAAGCCTTATCCGAACTGAAAAGTGGGTGATCCAGTGGTATCACATTAATGACACTACATTAATTAGATACATTTACAAGACAAGATTTGTTTTTTACAAAAAACTTTAGACACACCTTTAAAATCTCAAGCAAAGCATTGTGTGTGTGTGTGTGTGGGGGGGGGGGGTGGGAGAGGAGAAAGAAGGTCAGTTACCAACATGAATGCTAGTGTTTATAAGGTGTCACAGCATCTGTTGGCACCAGAAGCTGAATTATAATCAGATGTTTCTGTTGATCTAACCAACATAGCAAAGGAATAACAGGGATCTCCGATACGTGCACAATTTCAGTGCAGCTGGCTCTAAGATTATGGCGCTACATAGAAACAGATCAGATCCAATGGCCCTCATTATAGATTCTTGCCTCATGTTCTGGTTTGTAATCAAATCTTAAAACAGCTGCTATTCCAATCACAATGAACTCAACTAATCGGTTTCATCCAAACAAGTAAAATAATGGACAGAAGGGAGTGAAATTTAAGACTATGATCCTATCCTGGGAGTTCAGATGATGTTCATACATTGCTCCTGTTGTCCATTTCCTGATATCTCCCAGTCATCAGTGGATAACAAGAGCACCCATGGATGAATTAATGCTCAACGGAACTGTGGAACCCAGTGTGCCATGCTATAAAGTCACTTACTTTGCCAAGGTTTCTATTGAATTCATGTAATATGGTTCTCAGAGAATGACACACACATCGAGTGGAGAAGAAGCAAACTAACAAACAAAAGTTAAAATGCAAATTGTTGAGTTCCTGGAAAATACTAGTTTTGGGATTATACATTTTTCTAAAACATCTTGAAAAATGTTTAGATTTCAGAAACCATCAATTAAAATCATGAGACATGCAGGCACAATATTCCAAAATCCAAGTAAATAAACTTAATAATGCTATTCTGTAACGTTCAGCACTTTGGGACGTCCTCCGGACGTGAAAGGCGCTCTATAAATGTAACTTTGTTGTTGTTCATTAAAATGAGCATATCTGAAGCTGGAAGAATTACTGTGCAAGGAAACGCATGCACTTTATTCCTACCTGATTAGGTCCAATGGCTGGTACTTATACCACATGCCCCATCGAGCCCAGCGCTCATACAGGAGGTGTCTGTGATTAAGTGCACCATGTGTCTTGATTGGGAGTCTGCTCTTGTAGCTACCCTGTACAGAACAAACAGCATTGAGTTATCACTATATATGTGAACCCTGAAAGTCACTGAATCTTGCACCAGGGGCCTGTAAAATACATGGATTCAAATTTGACAGCTCATCTAAGAGATCTTGGTTTCACATGGGCAACGTACAAAAAAATCATATTGAAACCTTGTAAAATTTTAGGAGATCAAATTAATTCAAATGTTGCTGGTATAAGACTAAAACTAGGCCAGCAATGAATCAAACAATAACTAAGTGGGTCCAGAGCAGAACAATGTTGTGAATTGAGGACAAGGGTATAACACCTTCAATAAGGGTGTTGGGGTTAGTAAAATGGTGGGTCGGGGTTGGGTGGAATGAAACAGTCATCAGGGATTCTGAAACAAAAAAGGGGAGAGCTGGGAACACTCGGCAGGTCAGGCAGCATCTATGGAGAAAGGAAAGTGAGTCAACGTTTCGAGTCCACGACCCTTCGTCAGAGCTTGTTCTGACATTGAACAACTTCACAAAAAGAAAAAAAAAGTTTGTGTTTTCTTTCAGATTTCCAGCATCTGCAGTATTTTGTGTTTTGAGCCATCAGAGATTATTAGTCTTAAGATCTGAGACAATGTTTTCAAAGGAAAATCACACAAAACAAAAGCACCTTTCAGAAAGAACACAGTAAGTCTGTATCTCAGTTGAAATCCCAAGGACTGGATGATAGACAACAACAAAAAAATCAATCCAAAAAGACCCCATTTGTAACCAGGTCCGTTTTACACCCAATATTCAATGTTCATCTTTTTTTTTGGAAATAGATCACCACATCAAACAAATGTTGTTGCGAATGGTTTATGGTCATGAAAAAATTGTTGAAACTCGATTCAATACAATAATTACAGGATTACTAGAGAATAGGGTCAAAATGTCACGAGTCATTAGATTACAGACATGGCTTCCTTGAAACAATTGAATTACAACTTTCAAATCGTCAGATTATATGATGCAACAGTTTCTAATGTCAGTGTATCAGTATGTGACCTTGATCCTGACAGAAAAATGCAGTACTTGAGGGAACAGTCATTGCCAGCAGTAATTATCATATCACCTTCAGCATTTTTCACTCTATTAAATGCCCCACAAGTTAACATGTCCACTTTATGTGCTAAATACTGATGCTCACTGGTGACTGAAACAAGGCCATCTGTGCCCAGATTTATTGTACTATCTTTTAAAGGGAAAACAAACTCTAAACACAAACGGGAAGGTGTTAAGAGAATCGTTGAACAAAATAGATGTGTTGAAATATCATACATTGCTCCTGTCCTGGTAAAGTTTCAAACCAGAAAGAATGGTCCTTGAAAATTTCCAAACCTATTCACATATTTTTTGTCTTTCAAGCCAAGTACTCTCTAAAGCACTGATGCATGCTGACACTGCAATGTTCGCCACGATTGTTTATTGTTCATTCCCTTAAACATCAGATATTGGATTTGCAGTCAAGGGTAATAGAAGGTTTCTGGAACCTGTCCATTTTAAGTATCCAATCAAATATTGGTCTGTGACTTGCTCTGAAGTAGGTAAGTTATAGCACCAGACACTTCCAGACTTCTCTCCAGAACGCATCAGAAAACAGCACATCAGCTCAGATAATCACTTATCAAAGGAATGATCTCTAATTTTCAAGTCAGTGAAGATGCTTCGAACCAGCTTTTTTTAAAAAAAAAATCGATAGGTGATACTAGACTAAGTGTAAATCATTTTTCATGATTAATTTAGACTGCGCAGAAACCCAATCAATGCATTGCGGGGTCAGCTGCAACACAAACCCAATTTATATCACAGCTGATTTCAAAGGAACGTACAGAATTTAAAGACGTTCAAGCTTAAGATCTTGGCAAGTTCACTGCAGAACCCTCAAGCTTTTGATGTTACTAAAGAGCTGATTCCTTATTGTAGAGCAAGCACGGCTGCTTTAACATGCACAGAGTGAGGCATTAACAGCGGAGGCTAGGATCAAGATACTATCTTTAACATAGGCGATAAAATACACTGCTCATTACTGAAGATAGATCCCATATTACATCCTTTTACAGAGAACAAAATGCATGGAAATTTTTCTTAAACTCTTTACTTTTCTAAATCAGGCCAAAATATTTAGTCTAATCGTTTCTCTTTATCCAAAACTATTCCTCTCTTCGACATGTCTCCCAGGTGTAGCCGTAGACTGATAAACTGTCTGAAAATTTAACATCGAGCAAATTGCGGGAAATTCTTGAATTCCGTCTTAATTAGAAAGCCGGATTTCTGGAGTTCTTAAGCGTAATCAGCTTTCAAATTAAAATTAAATTTAAGAATGGTCCCTAATTCTGTGTGATCTTATATTTTACAACAGGATGGTCTTAGAGGCTGAAACTAGGTGGAATTTTGGGATGCAATGTTGAAATGCAAATTCATTCTGCAAACATTATATCAGATAGATTCTCTGACTGGCACTGTATTAGGGGTTCTTGTGTATTGTGGAGGAGGAAACTATTTTACTTTGTCTATTATTCTGACTATACACTCCCAGAGATATTTTGTAGGTCAGAAATGTAAGGTATTCTGTGCTGTCAAATCTCACTTAGTAGGGAGACAGGAATTTGCTGATCTCAAGTATATGATGATCATCTTTTGGAGCTATCTTTTCAGGGTCTCCGAACTATTCATTGATTTTGCACTGTTGGAGCTGAATGAGTAGACAATGCTGTTGGAATTTTAAACGCATCAAAATCCTTACTATTACAGTCATAGATAATATAAACTCTCTCTCACACACGAACACTCTTTTTTTCTGTGTGGGGGAAGATGGCAGAGAAAAGAAAGAACATTTGTCTCTCGTCTGCCACTGTAAAAAACTTACATTTAGAAATGTATGAATTTCAAATTCTCTACATGGAGATGAAAAATAGTCAAAACAAAGTGAATTCAACTTGAAGACCCGATGAACAGAGAAATGGTAATATCCTGTGAATTCAACAGCATAAGCAAGGTTCTTTTACTAACACATGGAAGTGCTCTGAGCTGCAATGTAGAATGTAAGAATAGGGCATGTTTTTTTTACTCGCAATTAGAAACAACAGACTTAGCGAAGGCTGCTGAAGGTCAATCAGTACTTAATGGTTACGAGGCAATACTCTAGCTGCAGTGTGGGGAATGGATATAGTCCCTCAGCATTGTAGCCAAGGCAATAAAACAAAGATCATCATCTGCTGCACAATATGCACTGCAAGTAAACACTGCAGCAGGTTGACTGCTTGTGCCAGAATAGTGCACTATATCCACAGCATCACCAATTTATTGAATCAAAGAGTCAAAGATCAAATAATCAAAGATCTTCATCTTAGCAGCTTAGCAAACACTTGTCACTTGTGTGAATGCAAGGACAGAATACAGTCAATTCAAAACCATAAAATGAGACACTGAGGTTGGACGTTAAACTGAACGTTGAAGATACAATAGCACTATTCGAAAAGTGAGGGGAGTTTCCCCCCAATGTCCTGGCAAACAATCCCCCAAATAAATTAGTCATTCACATCACGGCTGTTTGTGGGATATTGGCATGCCACAGTCACGTAAGAAATACACAGTCACCACATTTTAAAATAAAATCCTATGACATGCATTGAGATGTCCTGATGTGACAGGCACTATATCAAATACAAGCATTATTAATTATTATTAGTAGTTGCTTCTTTTATTCAGAGAAAATGAGAATTAATCTGCCATAACACAAGAGAAATTCTGAAAACTGTTGCCCTTCTGACAAAAACATCTTTAAAGGAAAGAGTCGAGCTTAAATTACACACAATGCCGTGCTTCACAATAAATAGTCACTTAACCAACATTTATGTGCCAGTAGAGAAATATTCTATTTAAATAAGTATTGCTTAAATAGAAGATAATTATTTCATATTATAACAAAGTATTAAGAAGCATTGTCACAGAGAACATTAAGGCAGAGAAAGAGGCAATTCATTTCAAATAATTGCAAAATTAAAGTTTGTGATATTTAATATTTTTTAAAGGCTAAAACGTGGCTTCGCTGGACCGGTTGAGGTCAGCTTCTGATTAAAAAGGCTACAGCCTCAACATCTGCTATCTCAAGGCTGAGACAAGTAGGCTGTGGAAGGCAGCCCAGAGGTTGTCCATATCTCTCTCCGTGCAAAGTAGCCTGCGAAGGGTGGCTGGGGGAGGTGGAGTTAGAAACACACAAAAGAAAGTCGTAACTTTGAAATAGTTGGAGTGTCGTAGATGGTCAGTACATTTCCCAGTGAAATCGCTATTGATTCTACTGTATCTATGGTCTCAGTTTTAAGAATAAATTAAACTGTTTGTATTACTTAATCCACCTTGGATTATTGCACCACTGCATTGGTCGTCTCCATCCGAATTTCTTACATAATCTATAATAGCATTTGATCTCCGCACCAATACTTCTCTCTCAAACACATTTATCCATCTAATTCCTTCTCTCTCATGTACTTATCAGTTTTCCCTCCATCGACAGCAAAATGCTGCATAACTCACCTCGTGTGGAGGAAAGGCAGAGTCATATGTTGCTTTGCTGAGTAGTCTATTTAAACCTACAAGAAAAACAAATTGCTTTATGAGAAATATTGTGCAATACATTTACCAGTTCAACATATCATTCCACAGAATTGTGCAACAACCTGGAGTATCAATTTGTTGGCACTGTGCAAGAAACACTAAGATTTATAGTATTTAAATATCTCAGGAATACTATTTGCCTTTAAGAATGGTTACATTTTCCACAAACGGGGCTCGTATTCAAAAAATCATTTTGTTGGCCCCCTAACTATTTCCTTACGATTTTCTGCAACACCAAGATGTGCTCTGAAGCTGGAAGCTTGGTGGAAAACCACCCAAAAGTGTGCTATCAAATCCACAATACAAATTTGATGCTGGGAACCAAAGCTCGCTTTTGCCTGCAGTTGCCAAACCGTCTGGAGGAAGACTCCAACAGTGATTTCAATTAGTTGAAGAGACACTGATATTATCTCGCTTCTGTTCCTTTTTCAAAAAATACTTCAAACATATCAGATTAGAAGTGAGAGACTCATTTTATTCCTTAAAGTGTGGATTTGCGTGGGTGTTAACTATAAGCAAGAATAATGCTCTGCCCAGGTTTCTCTGTAAAATCCAGTAGCAAGATGTGCACCTATTCAGCAAATATCCTTCTAGATATATTGAGCTGCCTAGCTTCTAAGTGCAAGTTGCCATAAACATTTTCAATAAATATAAATAAGACAAAACTTGCAAAATGCCCACACTACGAGTTTTAAAGGTTTCCAAAAGAGTGTTAGTTTTTTTATTGTAACTTTTTGTTTTACTGTCAATCAGTGCGTGCTTCAACCTTTCAACTATTTGTTTCACTATTGAAAATTATTTATCAAGTAGGTACACAGGGCTGTTTGAAATACAGCCAACTGAGAGCTATGGTATATAATACGTCTCACTCAAGCTCAATCCTGTTCCAGCTTTTTCTCTACTCGAACTTGCCATAGAGTTCATCCATGGATAACAAGCCAAGACTGAGTTTGTCTCTCTCAGTAATTGTATATTGTAGCACTATTAACCCCAGCTGAGAGTAGCTATCTCAGCTTAGACATCGAACCTTACAACCTTTATCGACTCTCTCGCTCAGTACATATATACACACACTGAACCACTCGATGAGTCCATTAACCCAGTCCTACATCTGTTCAACTCACTGGTTCCACCACTCACTCACTCAATCAATCATTCTCATAAATCCCAGAAACATTACCCATTTTGGACTTTCCATCTTCGTACTTGGTCCTCTGCAGCATGTGGTGTACAATTATGCTTCTTGTGGCGTTACTGAAAAAGGTGTCTTTGTTGTTTATGGTAAAACTGAGAGGGGGGAAAGAAGAGGCAGACGCAGAAATAAGTTTATCCAGCCCACAGCACAAACATTGCGATTCAAGTCAACAACATCTTGCACTTATATGGCGAGCTCTCTGTAGGGTAGCGTCTGAGAGAGCTTGATCAAAAGGTGCAATTGCAGGTGACTCAGGATCTTCAAAAGGCCCTACGTTTCTGCTTTGAGCTCACTCCTACAAATTAATAGTGCATAAAATACATACGCATAATTATTTTGGCAAATATTTATCATGCATTCTCAAACTCTGAGGCAGCAAGTCACTTACTGGTGTGCACGAGCCCGACTGAAGGGGGCTGTGTAGCAATCAGTCTCTTCTAGGTCTGGTAGAGCTTCTTTATCAAGCTTCATTGGGTTCCTTGGCAACCAACTCTTCACCTGTCGTAGGTTCCTCTGAACACTATTATAAGCAAATGTCATATGACTGATACATGGAACACAACATGCTGAGATAATCCTAGAACATTGTTCATTTTACATCTGGCTACTTTTTATTCAAAGGTTATCTCCATTTTAAAGTGGCCAAGGCCAGAATCGTTTTGTTTAGTGAAGTGATGCATATTGAAACATACAATTGGTAATCAGATTACATTACGGAATGACAGGAAAAATATTTATTGCATGTATCATTTGACTTTTTAAGAGAAAATGAATATCAGTTTGGCGCAAGTAATGAAAAGGAAAATTTTGGTTTGGGAAATCAGATTATAAATCAAATTTTATTTCTATGTCTACATGCACATTTTAGCTGTCCACAAACTCTAATAATAAAAATAATGTTAATGCTGTGAATATTAATAAATGTCATTAGTGACTTTTTAGTGCAGGCAGTATACACCGTATTGTAATGGTCCTATATATCCATCATGAATACAGTTATATTATACATCTAATAAATAACAGGAAGCTTGCATACAGGCAGGAGAAAAGAATAGAAGGCAATAAGAGAGGCAGAGGCTTATGTGGAGTACAGTCAATGGCACGGACAGGTTGGGCTGAACGACTTATTTCTGTGCTGTAACAGGTTACGTAATTCTATGAAGCTAAAGCTGTTGCAATATGAAACAAAAGCAAGTGTAGATTTAAACAATTAACAATTATGCATTAATAATGTTACAATGGTAAAAATGTTTAAATTAACAACTGTTTTGGTCAATTACCACATAAACCATTTTGCTTATTCCGCGTAGGTTGAAGCCCACCTAAGAGAATGTTGTTCGCTTCAACAGATGGCAGAGTCATTGACCTTATGATCCAGATTCTACTTTGTGATGAGTACACAAACATTAGAGAAAATTAAGCAATTATGCTGGTTTCTATTGAACTATGAGAAGCATGTCACCATTCCAATTGCAATATCGAGCTAACACAAATGCAGTACACATGCTAGGATCGTCAATATAAGTGATGACAATTTCACAACATTTCATTCACTTAAAAATCAAAGTGAGTTGCAATGTTGAATAGAGGTGCAATCCATCGGATAAAATTTGCACACTGCACTGGTTTACGGTTGTGTCTGTCTTATAGCAAATCGGACAGAGCCTCTCAGCAGTGACATTACAACTGCCAAGCAAAACTTTTTTGCAGGATGGGATATAAGCGAATACTGCACAGCACCCACCAACCTGCTCAGCGCTCTGCTCTTCCAGTCAGTGTAATAACATTTTTTCCTGGAAGAATAGGAAAAATCAAACTACGGATCAGAAAGCTGGGAAATACCCTCACTGTGCATTTCAAGTGTCAACACAGATAGGATAGAAGTTATTAACAAAACAAGACCAAATCATGCATATATCATTCTGTGTTACGAGTTTCAATGGATAGGAGAACACAAATTAGAAAAGTTTCACTGTTAATAGAATAGTGGATTTGTGAAACATGGTTAAGGTATTTCTCTCCCTGTTGTATTAGTATGTTTCGCCACTACATCTCAACAGGTTGCCACTAAATGCGGAAATTTTGCACATGACACAACTAAGAGAATTGGCAGGAATGACATTGTTGAGGATTTTGCTTAAAAAAACTGGAAAACAATCCAGATTTCTTTAGCTGATAAGATTTTTCAAATGTGTGAAAGACTGAAATGGTTCAGGTTAACATCTGCCTGATCGCTGCATTACTGTAATGTCCTTTCTAATGAGCATTCAAACCTGCAACAATAATAGACTTCAACAGTTTGTGCAGTTGAAACAGTCAACCCACGATCAGTACCTAAAAGGCATGCGGATGTTCATTCTTTCTGCGTATTTACAAAGCGTTTCCCAAGGTGCGTGGAGTTTCACAAACATTATATCGGTATTTGTGAGGGAAGGCTGCAGTTGCAAGAAAAAAAAGAAAACAGGGAGTAAGTTACTGCCCAAACATCTATTTACAGAGGAATTCTTACAATCTTTTGCATTTCTTAAAGTTTAATGCATGCTATTTTTAACGATCACAGCACGAAACTAAAATCAAAAGTTCAATCATTACAGCAGGGGAAATTTGAGGTAAAAACCTTAGAAATTAATTATTAATTCCTAAAAGGCCTAGTTCACATTTACCAAGTGAAGTAGTGGTAACGATAAATAAAATGAAACCATTCTCGTTTGATTGCTATCAGGAAAATGAAGTCCATTGCTCATCTGGAAATGTATTCTGCCATTAAAATCCCATAATTTCACTAGAAATGTACACACCATTTTTTTCCAAGTTTTCCAAAAATTATGAGATTCATAAGAAAGGTAAGATCAATATTAGTTGCTAACTCCTCAGTAAATACTATCTTTATTCATTAAAGACAGATGAAAAAGCCATTATATGTTCAGTTTATCGAGACTATTCTCTCCCTCATGATATATTGATGCTTCAGATTGTAACAATAATAGTCCTTTCATTTGTACAGTGTATTATCACTTCATGGATACACTCTGATGTGAACTGATTGTATTTTGTGGGCGAAATGCCAATCGCGCATAACAATATCCCACAAACAGTTGTGGATTGCATAACCAAATTATTATTTTGAGGGATTATTATCCCAGGAGTGCCATCCGCCAATCAACTAACAACTGGGTTCCTATTTAGTTCTAGGTAAACAGAGGAGTGTGGAGTAAGGAAGGGAAACTTGCCTAAAGTTTTACCCTGCCCCGGAATCAAACCAGGGTCCTCTCATTTGCGAGGCGAATGCACTAACCCCTGCGCTACGGGATTCGATCACTGAAAGATACTATTTTTCTTTCCCAAATCCTTTATTTTCTTAAAATAAATGTAGAAAACGTTTAGTTGAACCAGAAAATAAATGGATAAAAGACAATGAAATGGGATTTGTTCACACCTCTCTTTCAAGTTGTAGACCTTCCGCCCTGAGGTTCTTTTCAAATGTGCTTCTCTTCTCTACCTGGGGATTTGATTTTTTATAAACCAAAATATAGTCAATCCGCCTCTTTCCATCTTTGAAGAAAAGACCAAATTTTGTCACAGATTTTGCTTCCTCCTAAGAAAGAAAGATAAATTCAGTTAAAACTTGCATCACGGGGGAATAGCCAGGCAATGATTCAATAGCAATTCAAGTCGTCCCCAGGTGCACAAGTAACCCGTTGGCCTTTCAGAATAAAATGGTTAAATCTGTTCAGCGTATGCAAGACAGCTAGATATATAATAGATGAGGCTAGAGGCACATGCAAATCGAGACGAACAGAGGGATGGAAGTAGAAAACATGTAGCAGGATAAAAATCAAGAATAGCGTTGAATAGTTTTTTTATTGGGTGATTTATTGAATACATTTGTATTCTTCAATTGTAATGATAAACTATCAACACTGTCTTAAAATGCAATCAAATTCAAAACGTGTAATAGAATGAACCCAGAGACCAATCTGTTCAACGGAGAGTGTCCAGCAAATGGTTTGGAACTAAACGCCACTATGATTTCCACACAGGGTAGTGTCGAATTGGCACTTCTCCAAATTCATCAGCTCTACTTTTCTATACGTGTAAACATTCTGCTGCACTATCACCCTCAGTTCCTGCCTGTTGAATAACAAGCAAGACTTTGTGTTTTGTTCCTATTACAAATGCATTCATTAACATTTACCGAATTAGCTTAAACTCACCTTCTGTTGAGCGATGTTCACACAGTCACCTTCCAAAGGGAACAGGAAATCTTTACAGCAACTAATTTTTGTTCAAAGCACTTCCCTAAATATCTCAAAGAAATGTTTTCATGAAGTTTATCTATGAATTGAGGATACATTGCTATGAATCAATACCTGGGTCCTGGTTCCTCCTCCACTCAGCAGTTCCAGTAAGGCTTACTGCACAAATTCTGGAACGTCTCAGTAAGTTTAGAGGGAACAAAAGCTCTTTCTCTCTAATATTTATGGAACTTTTCCTCATGTCTCAATTAAGCAGTGGTGTAATTCACAATTAAATTCACATGATCTGTACATGGAGCAAACTGATGGTTTGAGTGGCCCCGTCTCATTCCGCAATTGGGTTTTGAATTACCTTCTAGCCCAAAATTCTCAGGCAGGTGAACAGGAGTCTAGGGATAAGGATTCCTTACAAGTGTCATTAATAAGCAAGATAACTGCAACACAGAAGGAAAAGAATTGAATACCTCTCGTCTCTCATTGTTAGCTTCTGATGTTTGACAATTTAATGTGTTCTGGAGGAGAAAGGTGTGATCAATCCGTGAGGCAATCGTTCTTTGTGCTGACTCTACTTTGCTCTTCTCCTTATTTTCATCTAGAAAGAGAATAAATCCTATTCACTAATTCATAGTCAATAACAAAAATGCTCTAGAGACTAGTTTAACATGAGATTCTCAACAAAATTAAAAATAAATGACACAAACCTCTTACCCGTACTGATTCTACATAAAGGCAGTGAATTTGCGTCACCGAGATTAGCATGCTGAGTTATTAATGACTTTAATTGCTTTATTAATGAAAGTACCTTACCAATGCTACATTTACAATTGCTGAACACCACATCATTTTGCAAGCACCAGAGGCAAAAATATTGATTACATTTCAAAAGACATTTACAATGACAGATTGGATAGTAAAGCAAAATCATTTCAGATATATCCTTCTCTGTGCTATACAATTGGAATTTTTGAATACAGAAAACAGCTTGTTCTTTTGTAGAGCCTTTCAAACAGTACTAATGTCACCAATAATAAGTACTGATTTTTTGTTTAAAGTCCACTTAGACAAGGCAAATTCTATGCAACAACTGGAGGTAAAAAAAACTCTATTGGAAGAAAAAGTACAAGTAAGTTTCAGACTGTGGAATTGCATCATTAATGTTAACATTTGGAACAAAACTCAAGAGACGCTTTGCTATTCTTGTTGCTAAAGCCAACACAAATGGTACAGCTATCAACTACCTAGGCAGACAACGCACTCATCATAAGGGTCTTGTGGTGGAAAGTTGGAATGGTATTGCTGATCAAAATTATATTCCGCTGCTTGCTCAGGTGACTCAGGCTGGGCAGGTACCTCCTCTGCAAAGAAAGACAACAAATAGTTCAATAGATTTATTTTACCTTCAAATACAACTGAATGGGGTACATCTCAAAGAGTTGAAAAGCATAGGGTACAATACATGATTTACTGTACCAAGACAAAAGACTATGAACTGAAAGCTCTCACAAGCATACAAAAAGATAATCAGGCAATGTAGACTACCTTGCACGATTTGCCCCTTAACCTTCACTCGGAGATAACACATGAAGGATTTCCAAAATGGGATTCACTCAAACTGAAAACATTCTAAGTGTTTGCCATCAAATCACATTTTGCCAAGTTATTAAGGAAATGACAAAAGGAAAGGTAATGATTGCAAAGCAATCCAAAATGTGAAGAATCATAAGTATATTTGGCCAAATTATAATTCAAACAGATTTGTCAGATGAAATATATTTAATGGGTTCTTTATATGTGCAGGGCTTCAATCTGTTTTGATGGATTATCCAAATGTCATGACAAAAATAGATTCAATTTATATTACCAGGCTTGATAATTCCATTGGCAATTGTTCCAATAGAGCTATTATGAGGTTCTGTGTGTAACAACAGGACTGACCTAAACATACTTGGGAGGAATAGAACATTAGTACTGATAATTATAATAGACATTTTAATACACTATGCTAAATAAACAGTCTGACTAATTCAACAGCAAAGGACAAAGATGATCAATGTACAACATGTTCGTGCACTAAATAAAGACAGTGAATTGAAGTAATAAGGAACCACTTCAACCGTTAAGATCTGCCAGAGAAGAAGTTACATCTCCCTTCTATTTAAAAAGTTTTATGAAACTACAATGTCTAGGTTTCACACAAAAGCACTCTGTAACTCTTAATTTCAATTACAAATCAATTGTAAACCTGTGATCTGCTTTGGGTCTAGTTTCTAACAATTAATTTGCAGCAAGGTTTTTTTTTACTCCTCGTATATTCACGGACATGAACGTTGTGTAAAAAAAGTTTATCATCTTTCAAAATGCACACCAAAAAAAAATTAATGTAGCATTAGTTCCAGTGAAGCTATTTTTCTAATGTCAGTTTTTTCTGCATTGCTGCAGGGAAACAGCATCCTTTGCAATTCTGCAATTAACCACTAACGCAATCAGCACTCTTTTGCTGTTACACAGCAAAAAAAATTTGAACAATCATACACAATGCTAATTAAATTAGACCTAAGATGATTCAAAAGGACAGCAACATTTCTCTGTTGAATATTGTTCATAATTCTCAGATTCAGTCAATGATATTGAAACACTTTCCAATCCATTTGAAATACAAAACAGCTTTTACTAAAATTTATAGTATTTCTTTGGCTCTTTGGTCAGGCTATGTGAAGCAAAGTCAGCGATGTCAAGCTGATTGATTTCTTGAAGAGAACCGGATAGGTATCCACTTGAAAAATAGTATTGGGAGCGTATAGGGATAAATGCTGAGTGAAATGAACAAGTGATCCATGAGACAATTTCTGTGATTCTGCAACAAAAAAAGAGAGGAAGAGAAGCTTGGTACCTAAACAATCCTACTTGTTTAACCACCACAATTAAGGGAATAGAGTATGTGGCTGGAAGCAGAACCTTAAAGGACAAAAATTATAGAGACCACATTGGACCACTGAGCCGAATATCCTGGCGTCTGATTCCAAAACGCCCTGCAAATATGGAATGGTGGCTGACAAGCTCTTATCATCCACACGGAAGCCTAACCTTTTCCTGTCCTGTTTTTGTAGACTTGTAGAAGCTTCATTCGTTACTTACTGTACCATTATTTTAGTTCTGCACCATTCGTATTTCCAAGCATTATTGATCAAGAATGCCTTGGAAGAGATTTTCTGTGGCCACTGACCTTTCTCGGGCGAAACATTTGTGGAAGATGGTCCTGCACTCTTTGGTTCCTTACTGCTTGGCGGATGCTGTGAAGAATGTCTGTTCAGATTCAAAGGGTGCGTCTGGCTCTGAGCCAGGCAGGGCAGGCTCCGTCTAGATGGCTTCAATGGCTGTTCTTTGATAATGCCACTGACACTTGTGTTCATTCCTAGAGAACGAGAATTAAAGATTCTGTGAGCTCCTCAGTCCAATGTAACATAGCTTGAATCTGTCAGAAGTTAATGAGAACGCCAACCATTTTTAACAAGTGGTGCAATTTAATTAAAAAAACATTGAATCGAGGGTTGATTTACATAATTGTGATGGAAGGGCAACACTGAATAAAATATGAGAAATATTGATTAGATTCATTTTAAATGCTATGTTAGAAGTAGTTTATTAAATACTCTCTTCTCTCTCCTCTGCATGGTTTCTCTTTACTGGCTCTTCTCTGAGCTGATGATCCATGATCCAGAGCCCACCCTGGTAAATCCGGATACCAAAGAGCTCCCTTCCGTTGTGCGATGACAGCTGTATTCTGCCGTATGTAAAGTTTGAGTGGATGAAGACTTGATGGAGCGCTAACAGTTACATATCCTAATGCGACTTCAATGACTCTTGAAGTGACTATTGATATGTTAAAGCTCATTCGTGATAATCTTTGCAATCGATAGTGTCAGGAGAACATTGCAAAGAGCTTCAATCAATCAATTTGCATCCAGCGACACTTCACAAAGCCATGAAGTGAATAACCAAATTGATCTGGGGGTTTCTTCACCAGGACACCAGGAGAACTGCCCTTCTCTTTTCAAGTAGCGCCATTGTATCTTTAAGGGAAACCTGAACAGGCACAGACAATGCAATGGTTTAACAACTCATCCAAAGGACAACACCTCTGACAATGCAGCCCTTCCTAGTGCTCCAATGCAGCGACAGCCTAATCTACAAGTTCAACATACCAACATGGGGCTTGAACCTGTAGCCTTTTGACTCAAAGGCGAGCATGCTACTGACTGAGCCAAGTCAACATCTTTGTATATTCAACCGTTTTAACAAAAGGAACTACATGGAGATTAAAATAGCAAATGTTCAGAAACCTTCAATGGCTTAAAACTCTGAAGTCATTCTCTTCGAATGCTGAAAAGTTAAGAACTTCATAGAACATGTGGACCTTAACTTTCATTGTTAAGGATAAAGAAGTATTCCCATTGAAAGTTGAAATGGAAGATTATGAAGGAATTCATTTAAAAACAGAAACGAGATTTCAAAGGTTAACAGCTTCAATCTTGTCTTTTTTAAAAAAATGTATGTTGAATAGCTCTGATTTATAGTTTGAGTTAACATATTGGGATTAAGTGTTAATATCCGTGAGTTAGAAAATTTGATTTGGATAAAATAAAAATAGGCATCCAATGTATGTACAACTGCATAGCAAATCTGTTTGTAAAGCTCCTTATGTTATGGTAAATGGGGGAGGGGACAGAAAATAATATAAAGCGATTTTAGATTAATACATTCACTTTGTTCTTCTTGCCCAGTTACGGTGAAGAATTTAGGAAATTTGGACTTTTCTCTCCTTGCTACTTCAATCTAAGGCTATTTTCTTTCTCACTCTCAATCTTTGGTGGGCAAATTGGATCTAATAAGCTGGTGTTTACACGTTCCCCATTTTGATAGGCATTGAGAGCTGGAGTGTAGGAATAATGGAGAGTTCCTCAAACTAGACTGTAAAACGCAGACCTTCCAGTCAGGTGATTTTGGTGGAAAAATAAATCTCCACACCAGAGAAGCAAACCAAGCAAGGTTAAGGACACTGCGACACAGGAAAGACTGGAAATCTTGCTGGGACTGGCCTGATTTCCATATATTCACTCGATGCACCAAAGTTCAAACAATTACATGATCACGAGATTGGTTTGCATGAAAAAGGCCCTTTGGCCCATTTGATCTCATCCTTCCAGATGACCCACATTAACATTAGCCCCCCCACCCATCACAGTATCAAGCAGTTGAAATCAGTCCTGGCCTCATTCACCCTTTCTGGCAACCTGCCCAACTGTGACACAGGAAAGTTTAATGTTACCAATCCCTTAGTTGTGGGCATGTAATAAGCAGCTAAAACAGCTTGTTAGTTCTATATCCATAAGCTGATGCAGTCCCAAAACTAGAACAAAAAAAATTATATTTAATGTATCCTAATGAAGCTGAAAATGCTGCACAGCAACGGTTGTAGCTTGTTAATTCCAGTCACGAAAGGAGATAATTATGAAAATGAACTTGGAATTTTAATCTGACATCACAAGGAAAGCGAATAAAACCAGGCAGAACTACACTAATTATCCTCAACTAGCTTCTACATGCGACAGGCTAGGATCTACCTTGCCTTCTCTATTCTGCATCTGCTGGAGCTTTCAACAGCTCAGACCCACTTGTTGGAGAGCAGCAGGCAAGGTGGTCAGAGTTGGGAGATTGGGCAGTCCATCTCATACGTTGGGAGAAAGTTCACAAATGGTAGCTTGGCCATGAGATTCCTTGTATACATGTGCAGGAAAATAATTTGTTAATGCACCCTGACCATGAAGAGGATAATAATTTAACTTTCTTCCCCCTTTCAAGCTTTCCCAAAGTACAATGCTTTAATTTTATGTATGGAAGCTCTTAATAAAAACTCCATAGCACTAATTGGTTGTAAGCTCACCATATGCAAGTGTTCTAGCAAGAGACAAACATAGTTTGAACTTAGTGGATGCTTCCACATTTAACAACTAGGTCTCGGAAAACTATGTCAGAGCAGTATACATTGACGTGTCTACCAAATACTTTTATATACAAACGTATTGTGTTTCAAATCCGTTGGAGCTTAGCATTGCAAACTGCATCTGTTCTTTTCTTGTGGCACACAAACCAAAAAAGTATGCCATCTGTTTTCTACAGAGGTCAATGGACATGAAGATAAATGATATTCCACTGTACTTGTCCAGTTTACTCACAAAGGTTCAGGGCCAAGATTACTTCAGGAGAAACTAGGCACAAAAACAGAGAAGCTGGAAATTCTCAACAGTTCATAATAGGAATATTTGCATTTAATTATAGTGCCTCATCACGTCATTGAAGCATCTCAAAGCACTTCACAGGATTCGCCATTAAGTGTAGTGACTGCATATTTGTGAACACAGCAGTCAATCATCTATTAAAAGGAAAACTAGCACAATATATCACCAGAAGCTATGAGTGTCAAATCTGAAATGTTAGCCTATTTTTCCAGATATCAATTGCTCTGCTGGGAGTTTCCAGCTATTTTGAATTTATTTCAGGCTTTCAGCATTCACCATTCCAACAGCTGAATTTTTTTTACCTTGCAGCTAGCTTTTATAACAAGCTCAGTTATAAAACGTGGGCTGGACGCATTTATGAAGTAACATCAGTTGGGTTGGAATCCTGGGCTTGTTGGTTATTTGGGTAGAAAGAAACATGGTGTTAAATTAGATTCAGAACTCAAAGTCAACATAGCCAGTTTCACCCGATACACAGATTGTTTCACTTCATATTGGGATGTCAGATTAAGAACGAATGATCCATTATAGAAATGAACCAGAGCTTTCGAAAATGAAACCAATGGGAAAAGCTGATAAATGAGATTATAAGTATGAAACAAAAGCTCTCTGGTTGATACAAACACATTTATTACACTGAAATGGCACAGTTATGGCACTCTCTGTGTTAGTGTTTCCAAGCTTCCAAGCTGTCCTTCATGCTCAGATATAGGGACTCGGTCAAATGTGATGGATCAGTACTCTTACAGGAACGTGGATTGAATACACAGCACTATTTTGTGCTCTGCCTGCATAGTGCTTGCTTAGTAATATCATGCGACAGGATAGAACCAACAGCCATGTCCAGAAGCAGTTTGCACTCGCTCCTGGTGATGACTCCCCAGTGGTGATTTTGACCAATGAAAGGTAGGCAACTTCAAATGCAGCCATTGTTTGCTCTCACACAGTCTTTCTGGATCCTACCTTCAGGGAGGCTTCCTTTCAAATGCTTCGAAGGAAATTAAACTTTTTAAAAAATTAATTACTAAAGCCAATATAAGCTATATATAGCACTCAGCGACACTACCCTGTGTGAAGGGTGCGATATAAATGCAAATTATTGATGTTGTATGGTTCCGTTTTATGAACCATGGAATGAGAAATAACATTGAATGGTAGGCTCCGTGCATAGCTTCCTGAAAGCCACAAGTGAATGGGAACAGAGGAAAAAGGTACATTAAAAAATATGATGTTGACTCACTGCCACTACAGGGGCACCCATTTTAACTGCAATTTCAGAGAAGTTTAAAAGTGGCTGATTCTCATAGAATTGTGGAAATGTACAGAGCAGAAAGAGGCCATTTGGCCCATTCTCTCTTTAAATGGCTCTGCTTCCATTGGCAGTACAAAGGATCCGTAAAACCAAACTGCCATTGACACCATCGTTGCAATTTATGTCATTCATTGCACATCTGTGGCTAATAAATTTCGAAGAATCGAGCACTGATGGTGTAGAATCTAGATCAAATGACTTCAATTACACATCACAGCTCACCTCTCGACCTTGATAAAGCTTTGAGCTGACAAGTTAAGATTCACATCGTGCTGATATCAGTATCCCTATACAAATTCTCACATTGGATTTAACCAACAGATAATTCCAGCACATTGATTGCAGAGGTAATTCATACTTCATCATGTATGACATACTCAGAGCCTCAGTCCAATCCTGGGCTCAAGGTTGAGGAAAAAAATCGATTCAGTTCAGAGTTGCATTGTACAGAACGTGACTTGGGAAACTAACAGGAAATTCAGTGCAATTACAGCTAACCTTGTCTTATTTTTTTCTGAAAAGTAGGACTAAGAAAAACTCATGAGTTCTAATTTGTCGATTTAAGAGGGAACGATTTGCAAAGAAGTGTAAAATGAAAGGAAGATTTACTGCGATTTATTCAAGGGTTACAGATAATATGCAATAACTTCCTACATATTAATATTCATAACAACAGAACAGGATATGTCATCAATGGAGCAGAGCTGATGTTGTCACAGCACGAGTTCTATACAAAATATCTCTTCTCAGCCTGTACTGGACAAGCAGCTTTGATAGGATTAAAAACCGAGAGATAAATAAATAAAAATTGCACAAATTAGAAATGTCCCTCAACATCGAGGATTGGAGACGATTCAGTGAAACACTCTTCTTTTTCAAGTTTTACACTACGCAATGAGGAATTGGCCCAATTAAAATGATTTATCGCCAGAACTGCTGATCCCATTCCCCAAGGTGAGAGGATTCTCCCACCTTGAGAAGCCACAGCACTCAAGTCTGTAGGATATTTGTAACACAGAAAGCACACCATTCATTCATCACATCAAGTCTATCCTGGCCATTTTGTCCACATAAACAACCATGTCTAAACCCACTCATGCTTGCTCCCCATATTTTCTCTTTTTTATGCATCTATCCCATTCCCTTATAAAAGCATAGCACTGGCCATTACACCTTTCTGTCCAGCAGTGTCCTGCGAGAAGAGTGCTATACAAATGCAAGTTGTTGTTGCATTCCTAAAAGCCAGCAATATTGTTTTCATATTACCAATCTGCACAGACCCTGGCCAGAGATCAGTCTGGGGGCACTTCAAGGCCAATTCTGACTGAACTTGTTCTCAAGTATCCTGCTAAATAAATGCACCAAGCATGGCTGCGGATCAAAAAACCCACAGTGTGCTGCAGGCACAGGTAAACCATGTGGTGTCGATCATCAAAATGTTTACTCATACACCACAGGTGCCTTGAAATGCATTTGAATACTCAAGTCCATTTTACATACAAAACCATAAATAGTGATAAAATGACCTGTCCAAGAAACCATCTACACATCACGTCTAAATGTGTCAGCTGTGTAAACTAATATTTGGGACTACACTTGGACAATTCTTTATTACTTGAACAAAGGTGTTCCCTCCAGCCACATTGCCAATTCACTTTCTATACTTTAGAATGGCAGAAGTACATTCCAATTTATTTCTGCTTTGTGTTGCTGAAGCATTTGTTTGTCACACTATTATAGGTCCAGTGCATTGCCAGGATACAAATGAGATCATTCAAAAAAAATCATTAAAAACTCATCTATTGAATATTTACTAAGGTACAGAGTTCGTATGAAGTTTTTTTGCAAGCAAATGTATGTAATTATTAATAAATTGTTTTCCTCCCATTTGTAATCTTGCCAACACAAATGGTAACATCAAAACCTATTACAGATTCACTGAATAAATAGTCCAAACAAATTTATTATTATATTAAACCTAAACCCTTCATCTAAAATTAATTCTAACTGCCTGTAATGTTCTTCTCCACACCATGCAAATGAATGATGTCCAACTGGCTCAGCTGGTAGCACTTTTGCTTCCCAAACAGAAGGTTGTAGGTTCAAGCTCCATGTCAGGACTTTAAACTCACAATCTAGGCCAACACTTCAGTGCAATGCCGGGGGTGAGGCAGTCTTTTGGATAAGATGTTAAACCAAAGTCCCATCTGCATGTTGAGGTTGATGTTAAAGATTCCATGGCATTACTCAAAACGTGAAGGGAATTTCTCCTGCTATCCTGGCCTACAATCCCCCAAATAAAATTGATTTCTAATGGCCATTCTTGTTCCGTGCAAATAGGCTACTAAATTTACCTACAGAGACAGTCAATACACTTTACAGTAAAATCCTATGAAGTGCTTTGAAGCATTTTGACATGATCAGCGCTATTTCAAGTACAAAGATTATTAAATGATGAAGTTGCATTGCTTTCAACAACGTGTAGAAGAACGCAGCTGTAATTAGCTATTACCAGTGGAAATTGTGTTGTGCCTAACCAATCTTAATGATGAGACTCATTAAAAATCTAATTGCTATCAGAAATTTATCTTGGGCTTAAGTGGAGACGCAATTTGTCGCATTGAAAGGCAGCACAACAGGACATTGTTCAAACAAGGTTCACTACCACAGAGCCATAAGATATTAACTACCAAAAATAACATTAGTTATGTATACACAGGAAAATTGCAAAAATTATTATGTATTCTGTAATGAAACTGCAGTTTATCTCAGAGATGAGTTTCAAGCAAACTAATACAAAATGAAGTATGACTGCTGTCAAGGACTTTTCCATTGGCTCTTGAGTCTGTATCTCAGAGAAATATTGGCCTATGTTCATATCTTCTACAAACAAAAGAGAGGAAGGATAGTATTCTATTCTCTTAATTCCCAAAGTTTCCCAAAGATCCTCAAGTCAAACACAAGTGAAACTGCTATAAATATTTTTTAGCAGCTTCGTAAGACAATGAAGGGGAAGTCACATCCAAAGATTGGAGAGTGGCAAAAGTTGTCCCATTGTTCCAAAAAGAAAATGCAAGATATGCAAGTTTGGATATTAGACAAGTCATCTCAACAGTTGCAGTTGGGCAAATGCTTGAGACCAATATAATAAGCAATCCTCATTTAAAGGCTAGAGTATATGATAATGTCTCACACACACACACACAAATTATATAAACAGAGAGGTGATGCGAACTTGTCGTTCGCATCAGAATTTCTTAATTCTGCTTAAATTGAGCAACATTTCACTCTGCCCCACAAATCACTAATAAATCATTACAGTGCACTAATTAACACTGTATAACACGTCTAATTATCAAATATACCATATACAGTAGTAGCACGAACAATCGGCTTATAACAAACCATAACAATAATACACAGCAGACAGTGAATGCTGTGGTTCACTGTGAGTTTAGAAACCAGAATGTCAAGTTGCACATAATACCAGAAGACTGAAATTCAGGCTGACATTGGGTGATGTGTGACTATAATGGGAAAATCAATTAGAGTTCACAACATCGCTAAAGGCGTTACACACAACATTCGAATTTCAGCCCCATCCACCCCCCAATTTTGCAGTTTTTAAAGTCAGTTGACCTTGAAGAGAGTGGCTGATAAAGCAGACTTTGCCTTTCTATGAAACTTATATTCAACGTATTGACTTAAATGCCCACTCATAAAAACATATAAGGATATCTTGTTGAAAATTCCAGTTAAGACCAGAGCAAACCTCTTCACGCCACTTTCTATGAACCCATGCAATTCGATTTTGGAATCATCAGGAAACTCCACAGCACAAGAATGCAAACCAGAGCCAAATCTAAAATATTTTTCATTTCCTTAATCATTCGCTCTCTACATACATAGAAATCTCAAATTTCAATATTAGTTATTGTTAATTTCCTTCAGGTTTCATTTACAGGAATTCCACACGTCCAAAATAACACGACTCCTGGACAAATGTACCAAGAGGGAACACACACAAAATTCAGTTTCTGCCTTACTCACAATCAACACACAACTGGAGGATTGATAATATGTGGGAATAAGTTATTGGAGTTCAGAAAGGAAAAGCAAAGAACTAATTCTATTAATATCTCACACTAACAATATAAAATCAAGTAATATTCTGATGCCCACCTGTACAATGCCAGAAGAGTAAGTAAATGGAATAATTCAATCCAGTCTGTGCTTCAAATCTACTCTCATTTCCCTAGTACATTACAGAGAGCAGTCTATTATTACTTAACTGGATCTAGATGATAGCATTCAGGGCTGCTGTATAGGTCAGTTTGACCCAGATGTCATCAAAGGATTGTTATTTTTGGAATAGCGTTGATACTCACAATGCAAATCATCTAAACACAAGACATAAAAAAACAACTTAAAGGGGAAGTATCGTAAGTGCTAAGTGCTTTGTGATCACTCCACAGCTTTTCAGCAAGACTGCATTCATGCCATCATGATTCAAGTGCACACTATAATAAGGCACGCAGCAAAAAGGACTTATCAAATATATAGGTATAGTATGAAATGGAAAGCACATTTAGAGAGCCAGTACAGGCACGAGGGCTCAGTTTTGCAGGCAGCACACCCTTCATGCTTGAGTATCTAAAACAGCAGAGTTCCATAAATGCACATCATCGACACTTGGAAATCTCCTTCCATACACACCTGTTTCCCTGGAGGGATGCACCTAGCTTACCTAATAATTCTAGTATTAGGCACAGGTTGGCAAGAGACAATCCTTGGGCATTGATTGAGGTCCTGATGACGATAGGTCAAATGGCCTCCTTCTGCACTATAAATGTCTATGGTATAGTTACCAGGATTCGGATGACTCTCTCTCTCTCTCACACACACACACATACTCATAAATTTTTATATTGGTGTTACATTGAGTATATTATCACTGGACGATGTGACACATGAAGAGTTACACACTATATTCTCCTGTACTTTTTAATGGTAGCTCAAAAAACAGTTTTTCAATAGAGTTCGACTGATAAGCACTGATGCTGTAGATTGAATCAATCCTGCATTAGCAAAGCAAGACAGCAGCCTGCTGCCATTGACAATACCACAATTAAATTAAGGTTGCCAAAATAAGATTTACGAGAACATTAGCAATTAGTTGGGAACAACAAAATAAACACAGCTTGAATGATCCAAGATTTTCAGTGAATCTCACATCATTCTGAACTGTGTGGAGGGCCAGTTTTGCTTAATTACATGCACTGAATAAATGGTCTCAGTGGGTACTTTTGTCAAGTTAAGATCTCCAAGGCTTCTCTTATTTGATCTGGAATAAACTCCAGTCCCATTCTGAAAAGCAAACTACAACAAAGGGAATAAAAATACCAATTAATTTGCAGCCGGAGTTTTGTGAGCAATCTGCTTTATTTGTAATAATAATCATTTCATACAGCGCCTTATCAAGTCATTAAAATGTCTCATAGCACTCCATAGTATCTAATGAATAGTGTCATGACTACATTTGTAAGCGAATGTAAAAAAAACAATTAGCCAGGAAACCGGGATACATGGGATATTTAATGTCCACCTCAAAAGTTAGTGGGATCACAGCTTAAAAGATATCTGAAGGAAGGGGTCATATCGGTGCATTAGTTTCAACTGTTGGCTGAACCTTTCCTTCTACGCACCTTCAAATTATTATTTAAGTATTTACTGACAGCTCACAGGCCAAACAAACAATGATTGATTACATCAATGAGGGAAGATATTTGGCTTGTCCAGGATAAAGAAACTCAGGATTAATTTTCAATAGAGCTACGCAGCTGTTGAGTATTAGCTACAAAATGTCAGGTGCATGTCAAGTCTAATTCACTGCCTATCCTGTATTAAGAGAGGAGGTTAATATTAAAAATCATGCTGTCCCCCTTCCCCCTCAATAAGTGGAAATGAGTAAATGGTTGATAATGGCAATGAAAGAAAAGATTGAACACAGGAGACCACATATATTGTCAAGACTAAATTTGTTTTGATGAAGCAATGCATCAAAATGTAAATGTGCTGCCCTTGGAAAGGAAAACAATATCTTTTGGCAGTAGAATAGATTATACATTTATGCAACAACTTTCAGGTCTGTTGCTGTCTCAAGAATGTTTTTAAAAAAACAAAACAATATTTTCAAGACATTATCAGAAACCCAGAGGAAAACATGCAAAATGTTTGGATTAAAAAAATTGTGACTAGAAATGTTATTAAGATAGCACGAAAAGAATTAAAAATGACATTCTTTGCATTTATGTTTGACTCAAATAGTCAAATGGTCACAGTAAGTTCTGTCGCGAATTTTAAAAGAATGGATAATAGGATTGCGTCACAATAGAATCCTAATAGAAGTTTAGCTGGATACATGAAACATCAAACCACATCACTTTTTGCTGATCAGGAGAGATAAAACTTATTCCAACCACAACTTATAATACTAAAAGCAGAAAAGGTTTGGAATCTACAAAGTTATCGAAGATAATTGGATCCACTACCTCATGTTAGGCTAAATTGCTGGTTTTAATGGAATGGAGACAATTGAATGTGGTCTTTCATCAGGATGTGTGGAGTGGCACAAATATTGTTTGAAGTGCCTTTACTGCCTGGATTGCAATTTTCTGCCAGGCAGTGATTAGAAATGAAAATCACTCACAGTCCTGAATAGCTTACGTGACTACTGGAAACTTTAATGATCCTCATCCTTAACTGCTGATTAGTATTCACTTGAGATACCACAGATTGATCGGAGAGAAAAAAAAATGAGATGCGACTTCAACTTGACCTTCACTATGGCAGCAACCGCAGTTTGTAAACCTAATTGATACCATTTCTCTGTCTATTGTTTATCCCGCAAGCTCAATATAGCACCATTTACACTTGATGAACATTGCTAGAATATTAAGTAATTTATAATGCCCCCCCACCCCACATTTATCCCTTCATCACCTTAGGTAAAGACCCCATTAAGACAGATGCTGTCTAAAAATCAAACACGGTGTGAAGTCTGCATCATTGACTTGGTGCAGAGATTGACATTCAGGTTGCAATAGATCTTCACAATCTTTGAATGATGTGGTCGCTGCAGCTGCTCCTTTTATGCTATTGTTAGTAATATTAGCTGGCAATTAATCGCATTGTTTATCTGGGCAGCCAAACAAGACTGCAATCAGTTATGAGCACATTGTTTAATTCTGCAGATGAAGCAAGCTAGGTTTTGAGCATCGTCAATGACTGCTGCAATCCTGATCATTATCAGCTTCAACGAGGTCTGTATCTATGGCTTGGGGGGGTGTGGGGAGAAGGAGTTATAAGTCCAAACACAAGCCGTTTGCATTCAAACTAGCTCTTAAATTACTGATGCTGGTTTGAAGATTAACAAACATACGAATACCAGACAAAGATGGATTAACTTTATTCCCTCCACTCCCACCCCCACTCACTTTCTGGGCTCTGTTGCTCAAGGGTTTCCAGGTAGCTCAATTCTATGAAGATCCAGTAATAATAATAATGATCCTTGCATTTGGTACAGCGCCTGATCACGTCAGAAAGATGTCTTAAAGTGCTACACAGGATTTACTGTGAACTGGAGTGACTGTATTTGTAGGCGAATGCGGCAGCACAACTGTGCACAGCATTGTCCCACGATCAGCCGTGAAACGAATGACCAACTTGGAGCAGCAGAAAAAAAATTGTGATATCAAAACAGCCACCTCTACGAACAAACCACAATATTGGAGAGGCAGCCTAAACGGCGTTTAAAGTCCTGGCGTGGAGCTTGAACCCACCACTTTGATTCAAAGCCAAGAGTGCTACCTACTGAGCCAAGTTGGTATCTGGCATTGGTTTAATTTTAAACAAAAACAAAGCCATCATTTTTAAACTATCAGGTGGTTTGAATGATTTATTGAACCATTGTAGCGTTTTTTTAAAGCAGCGTCGCAAATTGTTGTTAAAAATTAACTGATAATTCTAGTAGATGCATTTTAAACATTCCACTGGCAGATCTTTGATGGACTGATTGTCAGGAAGCTCTGACTGTGGGAAAACATTGCTGTTAATTGTATTCCATCGTGTCCATTTTAATACAATTAAACTGTAAACCACAGAATGCATTAGACCCAGCTTACTTTCTGCTCGCTGATGCTGCACTTCTGGGGTCCTTATTTCATAGAACCTCACTCAACTAAAAGCACATTTATAAATGACCTGCTGAGCTGAAAGTGGAGCACCAAGCTATTCAAAATGAGCCTGATGAGTATGATAGACTAGAAATGTTGCCTTGTGCCATTAATGTTCACCCAATAGGAAATCTAGTGCCGCAGATAATGCCATGTCAATACGTGCTGTGAATTTATGCATAAGCCACCAAATCGAACACAGAGTAATACAGATCATAAACAAATAAGTATCAAAGGATGGATACAAGGCTGGAATATAATCTCTAAATTCAGATGGCATTTCACTCCTAAACCCCTTTTTATATTGCTGGAGTAATTTGGCATTACTTCCATCAACCAAGAAAGAGTTTCAGAGGGTACAAAAAACAGATTTAGATTTTCCCATTCCAAATCAATCTTTCCAGGGACTGAACGGAATAATGAACATGCAGAATTAAGCACGGACACATCCCTCTCTGACACACAGCCAGATAATGTGTTAATGATACTATATTATTGTAAGGCTGGAAGTGTGACTAGAATGTTTTAAAATTAAATTAAAAACCCGAGAGTGGTTCGATGGAATTTTTCCCTTAAAATTATGGGGGCAAGTATCTTCCCTCCTACTCCCTCACGATAGGTTTATTTGAAATTGGCAGCAACAAGGCTGAAATCTAAATTCACAAACTCATCTTTGTGCTCGTAAAACATTTTCCATTGCAATTCAGACTGTGTTGACCAGCAGAGAAAAGAATAGATTTTAATGTTAGTGGACCCCCAAAGCTATTGAAACCATATTGAATGTGTATGGTATAATGGATTTATTAATTTTATGGGCTTACTGAGCTTTGCTAACTTCCACTGAATCGTACCAATTTCACAAAATGTTCCAACTGAATACTCGATCAATTGAATTATCAAATAAACCATTACTATTAGTCAGAGGGTGTGCTGACAAAGGTATTGCAGTAGCTGAAGATACTACACAGAAGCACGCACACAATCCTGTGAT